TCTCTTATGGTTTCAATCACTTGGAGCCAACAATGTTGTGAAACCATTCAATGAGAAAGTCTGAAAATAACACACAGATTTTCAATCATGTGCCATTCATATCATCTTGATGAAATTTCTCTTACTTTGTCCTCCCTAACACATACACCATCACTCCATCTAGTATCTGTACTATCCATTCCACTGCTCACACCCCATCCTAGTTAAAAATTTAAGTTGTTACCTTGGTTTTCAAATCAACTGGGACAGTGCCACAGCCACACATCTGGTGTTCAAGTAACCTGGCTGAAGGAGTTAGTGTTATGTCACAATGCTCCCCACTGTTCTGTCCCCTCATGTCATCTGCTTACATAGGCATGGGTTGTACCATCTCATGTCACCACTAAGAAATGGAGGGGGAGTACAGCCCAGTAAAATTTTCTCAGAGATGGCATATTCAAATATTTTAATTACTAGTGTTTTAATTTTATTGTATTATTCGTCACATATATTACCATTTTCATCCAATTACACAATATATGTTAGGCATATTCCTCAACATACCTCCCTACAGTCCTCATTTCAACCCTTTCTCATCTTGTTAGCTCCTTTGTTCCTTTGGTTTTTACATATATATATATATATATATATATATATATATATATATATATATATGAAGACTAAGAACTATGTGACAGAAAACACATACTTGTCTTCCTGATACTGATTTAATTCACTTAGACTACATAACAGTACCTTCAAATCACACAGCTTCATGTCTCTTAATAGTTGGGGAAATGTTTAATTTTATTTTATACTTTAAATTTTTTTCAAGAATGTATATAACCTACCAAGTCCATTTGGTGTTGTGCATATGTACAGGTACTTATGTCTGACTGCTTGGCACTGAATAACCTATCAGGGAGCTGGTCGCCAGAAAAGACTGATACCCCCCATCTCTCAGCAACCATTACTTGTCTATAGTTCTTCATCTAGTGGTGGGAACCTTCTGAAATTTTCCCCATCTAGACTGGAATGTCAATTGTTTCAGATTTTGTTTCAGAAACCATAATATTGGATAACTCATAGGTACAGCTTCCCTGTCATGTCCAGAAGACACTATTCTAACAGCCAATGTCCTCTGCTCCTCTTGCTTTTACAATCTTTCTATTCTGTCTTCCATGATTTTCCCTGAGCGTTAAGTGTAAGGATTGTGTTATAGTTATATCAATTGTGGCTGGGCACTCTGAACATGTACTACATTTTTAACCCATTCATCTGTTGTCAGACACCTAGGTTGGTTATATAATATTATAGTTGTTCTTTTTTACTATTATTTATTGCTGGTAGTCTTGTTGTTGTTGTTGTTGTTACATGGTTTCTCTGTATTGTTTTGGAGCCTATCCTGGAACTAGCTTGGTATACCAGGCTGACCTCGAACTCACAAAGATCTGCCTGCCTCTGCCTCCTGAGTTCTGGGATTAAAGGTGTGCTCCACCAATGCCCAGCCTACTGGTAATATTTTGTACTTAGTTTCTAAAATAAACTTTATCATGAATCTGTAGATATAGGAAAAGCTACAGAGTATATTCAGGACTACCCAAGGTATAAGGCATTCACTAGGGACTTGAAACATACATCCTACCAAGAGAAGAAAGGGTAAGTTATTGAAACAAATCACTAAAACCCCAACAGTAAAAATTACCTAATAAATATTATATACACTGTAGATGGAAGTTTCTGTCCTGCCAAGTCCCATGGCCATTTAATCTCAAATAAACACACAGGCTTATATTAATAATGCACTGTTTTTCTGATGGCTTGGGCATCTTATTGGTTAGTATTTTTTTCAATTATTAACCCATTTCTATTAATCTATGTATCTCCATGTGGTCTTTGCTTGCTGGAGAATGTCTGGGCATCCTACTTTTCCAGTAGCTACATGCATGTCATTTCCCTGGCTCTGCCTACAACCTTTCTCTATCCCTGTTCAGATTTCCCACCTGGCTAAATCCTGTTTGACCATTGGCTGAAACAGCTTTATTTATCAACCAATAATATATATATATATATATATATATATATATATATATATATATATGGAGAGAGAGAGAGAGAGAAAGATCCCCATCATCTCCTCTTGTCTGTCTAAATAAAAAGGAAGGTTTTAAATTTAACAAAGTAAAATTATATATAACAATATAACAAAACAGTTATCACCAAAAACCATAGTTAACAAATATTATATCATCTATCCTATCTTTGTGATTCTAAAGTTTTACATGTAACTTATCTTTTATCATAACTAAGGAAAACCGTAACCATAACTATGTATCTTCAACTCCATCAAAGACCTCAGAAAGATAGTATATAAACTCTAGAATTGACAGAGACATCTCATTGCCTGGACAGTCACTCAAAGTTTCTCTGTAACGTTGGGGCATCCATCTTCAGCCCATAGGCCATAGTGTCTTGACAGACTTTTTAATTAAGCAGGAAATTTGAAGATCTGTTCTGTCTTGTACTGGCAAAGTTTGTCAGTTGTTTTCTTCTGTAACACAGGAACCCTGAATGACCGGCAAGTTCAGCAGTCACTTTCCTTTGTAACCTGCTTATCCAGTTTGGACAGCATGCTTACTGTCAGCAGTTGAGTCAAGGGCAGTTCTTTGCCCAATAGACCAGTTTTGCCACATTGAAGGCAAATTCCATAACGAGTTTCTCCAATGCCCATCTTCCTCTCTGACGTAATTGGTGTTGCCAGGAGCAGTTGTGTCTCATTGTCATGGAAAACCCAAAAAACCATTTTAAATGCAATACTCTGTAGATCTTTGAAAGGTTTTGAAGAATACCTATCTATTTGAAACTATATCTCTGTACATCTAGAAAACCTAACTAGCATAACTACAAGTTTTGACTGTTATAGATAACTATCCATAAACTGTATTTAATTATATATTACATTTTTATGGGTTACAATGTGACATTTTAATCTGTATATAATAGTTGCATAATAGTTAGGGCAAATATTTATCATTTCTTTACAAATACAAACTTTTTTTCATTTTTAAATTCTTTCTTTGTTAATTAATTCATTTATTTTTATTTTCCAATCCCAGTTTCCCCTCCCTCCTCTCCTCCAAGTTCTCCCCACACACACACACCCCACCTCCTATCTATTCCTCAGAGAGGGTAAGGCCTCCCTTAGGAAGTCTATTAAGTCTGTCCCATCATTTCATTTAAGCAGGACCAAGGAACCTCTCCACACACCCTCCAGACCCCTACAAGGTATCTCTCAATATAGAATGTGATCTACTAAGTCAGTTTGTGCATTAGAGTTAGATCTTCGACCCACTGCCAGTGGTTATATATTGTCCCAGGCATACTATTGTCACTTACATTAAGGGAGTCTGGTTTGGTCTTGTGCAGGTTCCCCATTTGTCATACCAGACTCAATGATCTCTCACTAGCTTGGGTAAGCTAATTCTGTGGGTTTCCCCTATCACAGTCTTGAGTCCTTTGTTCATATTATTGCTACTCCCTCTCTTCAACTGTACTCCAGGAGCTTGGCCCAATGGTTAGTTGTGTATTTCTGCATCTGCTTCCATTTGTTTCTGGAAAAGGGTTCTATCTTCTCTGGGGTTGTGGATTGCAGGCTGGGTATCTTTGCTTTATATCTGGTATCCACTTATGAGTTAGTACATACTATATTTGTCTTTCTGGTTCTGGGTTACCTCATTCAGGATTGTTTTGTTGTTTTTTTGTTTGTTTTTGTTTTCTATTTCTGTCCATTGCCTGAAAATTTTAGAATGTCATTGTTTCCTACTACTGAGTGGTACTAAATTGTGTACATTTTCTTTATCCATTCCTCAGTTGAGGGGCTTCTAGGTTGTTTCCAAGATCTGACTGTTATGAAAATGTTGCTATGAACATAGCTGAGCAAATGTTCTTGTGGTGTGAATGTGCCTCCTTTGGGTATAGGCTCAAAAGTGGTGAGGCAGGGTCTTGTGGTAGGTTTATCCATAATTTTCTGAGAAATCACCATACTGATTTCCATATTGACTATACAAGTTTTCACTCCCAGCATATGCTGCCATTGGTGCTTCGGATCTTAGCCTTTCTGACAGGTGTAAGATGGAATATCAGAGTTGTTTTGATTTATATTTCCCTGATGGCTAAGGATGTTGAGCATTTCCTTAAGTGTCTTTCTGCCATTTGAGATTGTTCTGTTAAGAATTATTTATTTATATCTGTACCCCATTTTTATTTGATTATTTGGTAATTTAATTTCTAGTTTTTTGAGTTCTTTATATATTTTGGAGATCAGCCATCTGTCAGATGTGGGCTTGGTGAAGAACTTTTCCCATTTTGTAGGAAACTGTTTTGTCTTGTTGATCATGGGATGTTGCATTAGTATAGCTCTATAGCAGAACTTGAAGTTAGGGATGGTGATGTCCCCAGATGATTCTTTATTGTTCAGAATTGTTTTGGCTATCCCGGATTTTTGGTTTTTCTGGGAACCAACCCAAGTCTTCCACAAGCGCAGCAAGTACTCTTAACTCCCAAATCATCTATCCAGCCCTACTTATTTATATATTTTTTAAAAAATATGAGAAATCAAAATCATTGCAGAAATTTACTTTAGAAAAACAGCTAACAAAATGTATTGGAGAGGGAGTAAATCAAGAGCATTTCTTAAGTATTTAACATTTATTTTCATCTTACCTACCTGTGTCTGTGCAATATTCAGAATGCTGAACACAGCCCAAGGTACTGGAGTGTCCTGAATATTCTGAAAATAGCCTTTGACTTCCCCCCATTTCAGTTTTATTTTAAGTTAATTATCAAGAGTTATAATCTAAAAGGCTTCTGGATGCCTCTTGGCAACCATTAAACTAACTAGGAGTTTTCTCACTCTCAGTGTTTGGATTTATATAAGATTTACTCTCATTGGGTGAGCTGATTTTTAGGATAGTGAAGTGAGCAACTGATGGTATATACTAAGTACCCTACAGGAGACAATAATCTACATATTTCCAACTATTGATACAAGAGGAATTTTTCCAGTGGTTCTGGAAGCCCTAACTGGCAGATGGCTTGATTACATGCACGGCCCAAGTACTTCCGGACACATAGGCGGCAGAGCTGAGAAAGCGCAGGTGGACCTGGAAGAGGGAAGAAAAATTATATGAACCTCATGGTGGGTGGAAAAGGAGATGCTGTAAACTTAGTTGAATGGGATAGGAATTACCAATTGATGATAAATGCTACAAGCAGAGAGTTCTGTGTTTTGTCGAGGATTTCCTTTAAGTTGATGCTTCAATAGTGACTGTATTAGTGAACAAGGCTAGGAAAGAAGTATGGATCTGAGGAAGTACATCTCACTAACTATTGCCTGTGCTAATGGAAATGATAGACTGGATGAAGTGAAAAGCATTGGGGTTCAGGGCCCTAAGATAGAGCTTCAGGACAGGGGGACAACTAATGATAAGTTAGGAGCAAGAAGTGGTCACACAGTCAGTGCTAGGAGCTAGACCAAAGGCCAGATGGTCCCCAAAGTCCTCCAGGACCTCCCAGGACTAGCTCCCTATGTGGTAGACCTGGCTCCTACCTCCGCCTGGAAAGGCCCTCTGTTCTTGCAAGGGTTCCACCTCAATAGATATGTAGAAAGGACTCTAATCACCTTGACCCCATTGTTCCCTGAATTTCAGTCTCATGGAATCTACTTATAAAGGACATTTACATTATCCCATTATCTCTTCACCTCCATCAACAAAAACTTCTTCAAGTACATTCAATTACTTACTGGCTTCTACAAACCCTCATTGTCAGTGCAGTCTACAGTAATGACATTTTGAGATTAGATACATAGATAGATAGATATAGATATATGAAAATTACAAATGCAAATAGCCAGGTGACACTCAAGATTGATGTGGACAGAAAACATTTGACAGAGAGATATTCAAAGAACCAAACACTCACATTTAGTTAAAAAGCTGGAGACTGAGAATGAAAATTATCCCTCCCCAGGGCCCCTAAAATTTGGGGCAAGCCATACCTCAGAAACTAAGTAGCTAAGTATCTGTAGAACTTAGTAATACAACAAATTGTCTAGTTCAAAAATAATGTTTGTGTTTATGAAGCTTGAGGACAGAGGAGCTTGATAATAAGGAATGCAAGTAAACCCTAGGCCTGACAACACTCCCATTTGGGGGGGGGGGGAAGAAAAGTGTACAAACTGTTACCAACTACATTCTTAGTTAATAGTTACAAAGTGCTTTCCAAACTAGCATCCAAGGAAGGCCATTACCTTTCAAGTGGCATTTCAAATAAGGGAAGATTTATTTATTAATGCCCTAGATATCAGGAGTAATATAGATCAGTGCTAGTTAAAATGTGAGAGCCTGCTAAATATACAGAGTTTAGGGCCCCACTTGGGCAGCCTTGATCCCTGGGCAATCTATTTATTTACACAATAATATTTTTGTTGTTGTTTGGTTTTTTTTTTTCTTTGCACAAAAGAAACTGTTTCCAAAACAATAAACCAAGCAAGTCACTGGGACTAGCATAGGCCTTGGGAGTGGTTTCACAAAACATGAGCCCATTGCAATGTAAATTGTCTCAGGAGATTTGGATTGGGGTCTTGGAACTTTAATAAGAGTGCTCTTTCTGGCATCATATGGATTGTTTAGCATCCGAGTGCCTCTTCCTAGGTGTGTGACCCTCTGGAAGCCGATTCTTCTCCACTCCACTTTTCCTACTCATAGCTGGAATAGCGTGAGTTTCTATAAATTCTCAGGGCTTTTAAGAATTCAGTGGGTTTAGTCATCTGTTAAGAAGGTCGTTGTCCTACTGGGTGATTTGATCTTATTAAACCACAAGCTGTATATACTTGGCCATTATTGATGTGAAGCATGTGACTTTATTTCTAATTTGCCATAGAGTGCCTCTCAGTGTTACAAAGCTGACCTTTGATTTATTCAGTTGTATGCTTTTCCTATGATAAGCATAGCTCTTGAATCGTTACTGGATGAAAACAATGTTGTCTGGTCATGTTCTTATAGTAGAAAATATAATGCAAAAATGCAACAATAAACATGGAGTGTAAAAGAAAAGTCCTGGGATACACTGCAGTGAATCCAGGATTTGTCCCTTCCCACAACCCCATCCCCAATTACAAGAAAAAGGGAAAAACGGGGACTAGTCTAGGGATGAAATGACAGTATGCTTAGGGAGGAGAAGCAAATGCTCTACCAGGCCTGCCTTACCTTCATGGAGCAGGAGCGCCTGCTCCACACTGCTTTTGGGAGCAGCAAGATCAAGGGCGCTTTTGCCTTGCGAGTTCCTAAGTTTCAGGTTAGCCCCGTACTCAGTGAGCAGGTTGATGACCTCCACACTGGACTGCCTCGCTGCAGCATGCAGTGGTGTGTCCAGCCACCTGCCATGGTCAACACTGGCTCCTTAATAAAGCAGATGACCACAATCAATGCTGAGTGCGAATGTCAGGCTCAATGTGCTATTGAATATAAAAATAACTTAAATGCTCTAGAGTATTTAACCATCCTGTGAGACTATATGACTTAAGCCTAGAACCTTGACAATGTCTGTGAAGACTACTCCAAGACAGTTTGGTGGAAAGTGAAGTTAGGTACTTACACACATAAACACACACACACACACACACACACACACACACACACACACAAAGTATTTTATGTTCCTGTTACATGATTATTTGGGGACTTTTGGCAAAAGACAGAAAGATATTTGTTTAGCTTGTATATTATTGCAGATTCAAAAAGAAAAGACTTCCAAAATTAACATAAATATAGTAAATGGAGGAATAAAATGATAGTAAACATCTTGAAGTTCAAATTTCTCTAGTAAAGGTTCTTAATACAGCTTACACATTTACATCAGTAGCAAGTGTTTTAAATAATGAATCAAATGATAGTTTTGAAGTCATCTACTTTTCCCTGCAATGGCAGTTTCTTTTTATTATATTCTGAAGTGAAAAATGACTGCCTTAGCAGAAAAGAGGTCAGTCTGCTGCAAATGGCCACCACATTCCATACGTTATTTTCCCTTTGGAGAAGCATCTTCTTCTGAGTCTCAGCTCATGAATCCTTAGTGAAACCTAATGACTGCAGAGTAAACTGAAACCCAGCCCTCAGACCATCAGTAGCCTGTATTTCTTTGGCCACCAGGATCAATTGATTGATTCAGAAATGACCACACATGCAGCCATATTGCCACCACCAGGGAGAAGTATATTAGCTACATAAGGCCAACATCAATGGAAGCAGAGTTGAGAGATAAATACTTGTTTCTCTAGACAGGTTGTAAATCTAGCTTTCAAGTATCTAATACAATCAAAATCTTTTCTAGCTGATAAGAGTGCTATCTTTAGAGCCACTAAAAAGAAAAAAAAAGAAGAAGAAGAAGAAGAAGCCTAGCAGCTTCATCTCAACAACACTGTTCTAATAATTACCTAGTTCTAGAAGCTTCTTCACACAGTCCACTCTCTCATAGGTACAGGCCACATACAGGGGAGTTCCCAACTGAGGAACCTCTTGCTCAATGTTAACATTATTCGCCAGCAGTATCTCCATGCACTCTCTGTGACCTAGTGGAATATAAAATAACTTCACTTGCCCAGTGATGATGGTATATGCCTTTTATCCCAGAAAGCAGGCAGAGGCAAGAGGATCTCTGAGTTCAAGGCCGGCCTGGTCTACAGAGCGAGTTCTTGAGAAGCCAGGACTGTTACACAGAAAAAAACTTGTCTAGAAAAAAAGATAAACTCACTCAAACAGGGACATGTTAAATATGCACAGAATTTCAAGATTGCTTTCCAGAGACCTGGGAGGGGGGCAGGGGCTGGAGAAGTGGCTCAGCAGTTAAAAATCTTGCTGTTGCTCTTCCAAAGAACCTGGGTTCAATTCCCAGAACCACATGGTGACTCACAACTGTTTGTAACTCTAATCTCAGGGAACTGATGCCCTTTTCTAACCTCTGGGGGTCACTGCATGCACATGGCACACAGACATACGCAGGCAAAACACCCATGTGCATAAAATAAATGAACAGAAATCTTTAAAAAGAAGTAACAGATCTTTCCCCTGAATTAAAAGAAAAATACTTTGGGGAATCATAAGCCATGAAAATGTTTCCTCTGGGGATTTTTTTTTAAGTTACAGTGGTAAATGCAGTGAAACTAGGGTTCTAAGGAGCATAGCAGAACTCACTCTCTAGCATGAAACCACCATTATACAAATGGATGGCTATAAGAAGCAGAGGAACATGTGAGCCCTGTTATTACCAGCACTTAAAACAAAGCTCAGTCCCATTACCCACCATTACTAAGCTCTCGTTCTCTTCTTCATCCACCCCTGTAAAGAGAGCCCTCAACTTTACTGGGTTAGGCTGGAAGACACAGATGAGAATGAATCCAAAGCTTCAGGTACAGAATATATTCAAATTAACTTACATATTCACTGTCTATTGAGAACTCCATAAGCAGGCATTCCCAGGGGAGACTGCCCAATGACAAGATGAACATGATTGATTGCAGTATATCAATTAATTATTCATGAAAGAATGCTTCTGGGGTACTGACAAAAGTTTGATGATAGTTTTTAATGTTTCCTCAAAAGTTTTACCACTGAGGTTGGAAGGAAGGTTGGATGGCTCAATGATTAAGAGCACCTGCTGATCTTGTCAGATTTACTTCCTAGCACCCATATGATAGCTCACAACAGCCTATAACTCCAGTGCCAGAGGATACATACATACACTCAGGCAAAACACATGTACACATAAAATAAAAATATGTTTTAAAAGCTGTTATCATTAATTAATTTAGCCAACCATTTCTTTAGAGATGATATAATCACAATCAAAGAGTGCCTGCTAAACACAAGGCAGCTGGTAAATATTGATTTCTGAATAATTCTTATTGCCTTAAATATTTTGGAAGAACAGAAGTAGAGCCTAGTTTGAGTTAAATAACTTTAAGAAGTATAAAAGCTGAGATGTGATAGAATGTGCCTACAGGTGAAAACATCTGAACCAACACTAGACCTAGATTCACGCAAACTGCAATCAACCCACCACTGTTGAGTGTGCCCTGATATGGCTTCCTTACCTCTCTTTACTGCTTCATGGATAGGTGAAGCCAGGTAGACCTCAAGCTGGGCCTTGGCTCCAAACTCCAAGAGCACATTGACACACGCAGCACTGCCACTGCAGCAAGCATTGAAGAGGGGAGTGGTCCCATGGACTGTCAATCCATTGACCTAATGTTGGGTAAAGCAAAACTCAAAGAATTTACTCACTCATTGTCACCAAGTATGTACTCCTATGCATGTACGTGGAGAAATTACCTCATGCTGATGAAGAACTGAGAGCATTCCATAACTGTGGTGGTTTGAAAGAAAATGGCTCCCAAAGGCAGTGGCACTATTATGAGGTATGGCCTTGTTGGAAGAAGTGTGTCACTATGGAGCTGGGCTTTGAGTTCTATGCTCAAGCTACTCCCAGTGTCACAGACCACTTCCTGTTGCCTGCAAGATGTAGGGCACTCAGCTATTTCTGCAGCATCATGTCTGCTTGCACACCTCCATGTCCCACCATGGTGATAATAGATTGAACCTCAGAACTGTAAGTAAGCCACCCCAATTAAATGTTTTTCCTTATAAGAGTTGCTATGGTCATGTCTTTTCACAGCAACAGAAACCCTAATAAAAATTGGTGCCAGAGACTGTGGTATTGCTACGATAGACTTGACCATATTTTTCCTTGCAGAAATATGGACTTTGGGTTAGGAAGCAGTGGAATGCTTTAAGCAATGATTAATTGGTCATACTAGTAGGTGCATGGAAGATAGTAGTGTTGACTGTGATTTGATGAACTGTGGGGTGCTGGCTAAAGATGGCCTACAGATCATTCTTATGATATTTTGGTGAAGAATATGGCTACTTCTTGTCCTTATCCAGAGAGTCTCCTTGAGGCTAAAATGAAGAAATTTGTGTTGTAATTTATTTTAATACTCAGGGAAGGAAAGTATGAGGTTTATTTGAAGAGGAGAGAGAAGTGTCAAAGAAAGGTGCAGGTAGGGGAGCAGAGACTGGTCCCTCGGGACAAAAGTGGCAGGAGAGAGAAGGGGAAAAAGAAAGAGATGGGAGGTGGGGAAGGCCCACCTTTTAGAAGAGAATGTAATGATTATAAACAGGAAGTGCTCTAAGTGACTGCAGCTGAGGATGTATCCTGTCAGGACCCCAATTTGGAATACTTCCATTAGCAGAGGAAATCTCAAAACAGCCTAGAATTGACTCTCATGTGCTTATTAGTGATAACTCTCATGAAGATTTATAATGAAAAGGTAGAAGAAAATGTAAAATTTGGAGAGAAAAGTAATGGAGTTAAGTGAAATGGAACTAAGTCCTGTGTTCAAGGAAATACACGATTAAGAAATGGAATAAAGGAAGTGGTGACCTCAAGGCAAGATCCCATCCAGCTAAGTTTCCAACTTGTGAAAAGGAACTAAGTAAAGCTCAGAGCTGGATATGGTGGGGCCACCTTTAGTCCCAGAACTTCAGAGGCAGAGACTGGCAGATCTCTGAATTCGAGGCCAACCTAGTCTATAGAGCAAGTTCAAGGACAGGCAAGCTTAGGCAATGAAGCAAAACGGAAAGCTTGTGAAGACGTAATTGAATGGGGGGGGGGCATGTTCCAGCCCCAGTAAGCAGCAGAATTTGGCAGATTAAACCACATGTTTCTGGAGTTAAGGATAGAGGAAAGGATCTATGGAAATTTCCCTTGCAACTTAGGAAAATCTCTGAAGCTAGGCTTGTGTTAGGGGTGTCCCTGAATGGAGGTATAGGGAGGTCATTGTGTGAAGCTGTGAAGGTGAAGCCTGAATTGCCTTGGAGATGCCAAGATGTTAGAGATGCCAGAGTCATAGGATAGCTGCTGAAAGGAACTGCTAACAAGGAGTGGAACCAGCCCAAGAGAAAGAAGTGTGTTTCAGTCAACACAGCTGAAAGGAGTTGGAGATGTGAAGAGTGCTTTGACATCAGACATGGAGATGCCGAGGTTGGAGTTTGCCCAGCCAGTTTTTAGTATTGCTTTGGTCCAGAGTTTTCTCTCTACGCTCCTTTCTCTAGTTTTCGAATGGTAATGTATATCCTGTGCCATTGGAAGTATGTAATCTGCTTTTTTATTTTGATTTTACAAGGGATTACAGATAAGAGATTGCTTGAATCTCAGAAGAGACTTTGAACTGTAGACTTTCAAGTTTGAGACTGTTACAGACTCTGGGGACTTTTGAAGTTGACTGAATGCATTTTTTGCATTATTATATGGCTACAAGCCTTTGAGGGCCAGGGAATAGAAGGTTGTGGTTTGAATGAAAATGGCCCCCAAAAGGAGTGGCACTATTAGGAGGTATAGACTTGTTGGAGTAGGTGTGGCCTTGTTGGAGGAAGTGCATCACTATGGGGGTGGGCTTTGAGTTCTCCTGTGCTCAAGTTATTCCTGGTGTCACAGACCACTTCCCTTTGCCTGTTAGATGTAAGACTCTCGGCTACCGCTCCAGCACCATGTCTGCCTGCACACCACCATGTCCCACCATTATGATGATGAACTGAACCTGGGAACTGTAAGTGAACCTTCCTAATTTGATGTTTATCTTTATAAGAGTTTCTGTGGTCATGGTGTCTCTTCACAGCAATAGAAACCCTAAGGCAATACCTTTATGAAAATTTAAAAACTCAAGGCATTGGTGATAGATCAAGTTAGTTATTCTATGTGAAATACATAAAATATTACCTTCTTACTTGACTTGCTATTATTTTCTCTCTTAGTTCATGTTAGTAAATATTTTCTGACCCCCTTACTAGTTGCCAATGTTTTAGTTTTGTGCACAGGGGTGGGGTTGTTTTGCCTGAATGTGTATGTGAACTACATGTGTCCCTAATGTCTACAGAGATTAGAAACAGAGTCAGATTCCCTGGAACTAGAGTTACAAATAGTTGTAAACCACCACATGGTTGCTGGAAATCAAACCCAGGTCTTCTGGAAGTGCAGCCAGTGCTCTTAACTTCTCTCCAGCTCCTAGCTGTCAATGCTTTGAAAGCAAAGGTAAGATAATTACCAATTCCTAAGTAAGTTAAATTTTATCAAGGAAGAAAATCACACAAAAGAACTACTTTTGATGAAATAATAAGTTCTTCACACCTGGCAGAAAAACAAAGGAAAACATAGATCTCAGAAACAGGAAGTGAAGTTAGCCAGATTTTTGATGAATTAGATATGGCGTTGGCAGATGAAAAATGATTCCCAAGCCTAGGAGACCAGAAAAATTTTATCTATTCTATCTATTCTCTGAAACTGGAACCTAAACTAAGAAGTTGGTACAGAAAGAAGGATGTGACACACACATTTCGGGTATACTAAGTTTGGGGTATTGATTGTTCAGCCAGTTATAAGAGCTAGCTACTGACTGACCCACTTTATCCTGCCTTTCCTCGTTCTAATAGAACTGTTAAATTATGTGATGGAGCTCTTATCAGCTATTTATTAAAAGCATCAAAACCAAGATGCTTTATTGTTCTCTTTGTCCCCAACAAACATGCTGTTCTAAAAAAATAAGTATCATTTCTCAATAACAATAAGCTCGTTACTTTGAACATGGAGTTTGAACAAATGGGCTGGGCAGTGGTGGCACACACCTTTAATGCCAGCACTTGGGAGGTAAAAGCAGGCGGAACTTTGTGAGTTTGAGACTAGCCTGGTATACAAGAACTATTTCCAGGATAGGCTCCAATGTTACACAGAGAAACCCTGTTTCTAGAAACCAAAAAGAAAAAGAAAAGAAATGGTTCTCACATAGCCTTTCCCGCATCATTACCCATGAGCTATTAAAGCAGTAACCTAGAGATGGACTCCCTATGGAAATGTGGGAATGACCACGGGAGCACTGGAAAAATTCATTGTTCAGGAGAATTTCATACTCACTTCTACACATAGAAACTCAGTCTGCAATTAGATTTGCCTTCATGAATGCATTTGGAGGACTTTTAAAAAGATTTTATTTAAGATATTTTTTAAAAGATTTTAATTATGTGTGTAGTGGCAGGGGTAGAGGGTGGGCATGAGGGGCACATGTGAGTGCAGGTATTCACAGTAGCCAGTAGAAGGTGTCAGGTCCTCTGGAGCTGGAAGTTACAGGCAGCAATGAGCTACTCAGTGTGGATACTAGGAATCAAACTCAGGTCCTCTGGAAGAGAAGCTATTTCTCTTAACCACTGAACCATCTCTACAGCCCCAGGACTATCTTGATTACTTTATTTGAGGTGAGAATTGCCCACTGTGAGTGGAACCATTCTCTTAATAGGGAATCCTAAACCTCATAAGAGTGGAGAAAATAATCTGAGTAATAATGTACAATGCCTTCTTTGCTCTCTTCCTCTGCCTTTGGACATGCTGTAGCCAACTGCTTAAATGCCTGACTCTGAGACACTGCTGCCAGACATAATGGACTACAGCCTGGAACTGTGAGCAAAATAAATCCTTTCCCTTGTAAGTTGCTTTTATCAAGGTGTTTGATCATAGCAATAGTCAAGAAAGTAAAACAGTTCATAATGTGTTTTATACCTAATTCTCATTTACTTTGGTAACGTACATCTAAAATTATGGTTGACTTGGGTTATTGAATTCATTGTCTTTCGTTGTTCTGTTGAAATTTGTTGTTTATGTTTCATCACAAAAATTTTTTAATGAACACATCTTAATTGTCACACATGCATTATATACGCTGAAAAGAGAAGAATAAGCCAAAAGATGAAATACAGACATGAATATTGCCAGACCTTCTCATTGCTCAATGCGTGAGCACTCTGGAAGGTAATGTCACCCTATTGGGCTGGGGCAGTACTCACATGTGCACCATTTTCCAGCAAGGCCTTAGCACAGGCCACGTGACCACCAAGACATGCCTCATGGAGAGAAGAGACCCGGTTAATTGTCACAAGATTCACATTGATACCCTGCAGTTTGGAGAAAAATCAATTAAATGATGCATCAGTCACAGAAAAGCAAGAATGTTGTTCACTGGGTTTCTGTTTTAGACAACTGGGGGAGGACAGTGGTATTAGCACCATGTAAAATAGAGCAGAAGCCATGACCATGGGATTCTAAACATAGCACTGGGGGCTGGAGAGATGGTCCAGAATTTAAGAGTGCATGGCTCTTGCAGAGAACCTGAGCTTGATTCCCAACACCCATATCAGGCTGCTCATAACTGCCTAAAATGCCAGTTTCTGGGGTATCTGATGTCTTCGGCTTCCTAGGACATTGTACACACACACACACACACACACACACACACACACACACACACACACACAGAAAAATAATAAAAATAAATCTTTAAACACAGCATGGAGCCTCAGAGTCATTATTTCTGGTTCAGGCAATGTGCTAGGGCATGGGTCTTTGAAATTTATGGCCTGAACCTTTCTCCTCCAAGATTGCTGGGAGGAAGAAATTTAAACAACAAAAAAGCAAGAGGACGGATGTCATGCTACAGAAAGCATGTTGAAATTTCAGCTGGGGACATGGAGTATTCTAAAATGTCTGGTCTGGGGAAGGAGAAAAAACTCACCAGACATAGTGATGTACACCTTTAATCCCAACACTCAGAGGCAGAGGCAGGCAGATCTCTGAGAGTTCAAGGCCAGCCTGGTTCATAGAACTAGTTCTAGAACAGCCAGGTCTACACAGAAAGACCCCACATCATCATCATCATCATCATCATCATCATCATCATCATCATCATCATCATAATAATAATAACTATTATTATTATATAAAATCAAAGGTTGTTAAATTTCTTTAAGATTTTTAAAGAGTAAATGTTTGATCTGCATACTTATTATTCTATAGTACGTGTAGTATAATACACACAGAGAGAAAGAGAGAATATAATAAAAATTTCTCTGGTGAAGGGGTATTGAGAAAAGAAAGTTTAAAAACAAGGCTTCAAAAGCCCAGCATATCTCACAGTTAGGAATTATTTTCTCCTTTTTCCTTTATCCTACCCATTCATGATTACCTTTTAGAAATAAATACTTGATATTCTGTGATGATAAAAAAGAAAGGCAAATGGAGGAAAAGGAAAAACTGAAGGAGTGAAAAAGAAAGTGAGTTAAAGTAGTCTACTCCACGAGGTGGCAGCATTGTACTAGAAACACACCTACAGTTCAAAAATCAGACTGCTATAGAAAAATGATGTGCAGCACGCCTGAAAGACCATCTAGGTCATTTGTTCTCAACTTTCGTAATGCTGTGACCCTTTAATACAGGTCCTCATATGGTAACTAACCATAAAATTATTTCATTGATACTTCATAACCGTAATTTTGCTACTGCTATGAATGGTAATATAAATATCTGATATGCAGGATATCTGATATCTGACCCCTGTGAAAGCCATTTGACCCTAAGAAGAGTCATGCCCCACTGGTTGAGAACCACTGATGTAGATTGGCCCTTCCTAATTGTGCATGAGAACATGGACATACAGAAAATGCAGATCATATGTAAGACTTACTTAAGGTTAACCAGCTGTCAGTGACAATGTGACAACCAAGAGTGTCCTGAATTAATGCTTTACTTGCATTTGCTCAAGATGGTTAAATGTTTTATTCACATTTAGCCCATGACCTAAACATAACAAACTTTTCAAAGTAGAACATAGGAGCCAGCAAGATAGCTCAATGGGTAAAATGACTTGACACACACAATAAATACATAAATTTTTTCTTTCAAAAAAATTAGAGTATAGGCAGCCAGAGAGATGGCTCAGTGGTGAAAGCACTTGTTACTCTTTAGAGGACCAGAGTTCAATTTCCAGCACACCTGTCAGTGGCTCACAACTGCCTGTGACTCCAGCTACAAGGTCTCCAAAGCCTCCTTCTGCATTCCAAGGACACTAAAACACACCACACACACACACACACACACACACACACACACACACACACACTAAATCTTAAATAATAGTAGATTATATTTTTGACTAGTGTAAAGAGTAAAAAGTATTGTGACTATAACAAGAAAAATTTGAATTCTTCTATGTAATGCCCCTACTCACTTCATCACACTGCTAAAATAGCATGTCTTTAGAGTAATAGTGATATCATTAAAGACATATCTGGGCCTGCTGGTGAATAACTATAACCTCAGCAGTTGGGAGGTAGAGGCATGAAGATTATGAGTTAAGGCCGGCCTCTACTAATTTTGAAGCCTGTGCAGACAATGTGAGCTCTGTCTCAAAAAGCAAAGAAACAAACAAAAAGGCAACCATACCAAATGAAATGTAAAGTGCTTAAAAATTAATAAACAAGCTAGGTGGTGGTGGCCCAGGTCTTTGATCCCAGCACTAGCACTGGGGAGGCAGAGGCAGGCAGATCTCTTCAAAGCCAGCTTGGTCAATGAGTGAGTTCCAGGACTACCAGGGCTACACAGAGAAACCCGGTTTTGCAAAACCAAAACAAGTGCTCTCTATGTCAGGACACTTGCCTAGAACATGCAGGACCCTGTGTGGGGAAGGAAAATCACCAGCAGAGAATTGCCTGGTGTGTGAGGCCCTGAGTTCAGTCAGAAACACAACTAGAGGGAAAAATAAATTAGTGACAAGATCAGATACAAAGCCTATCATTGCTAACAGTTCTGTTCTCTTTTTGCCAGTTTATATTTGCATGGTATTTTTGAAGTGCTGGAGATCAAATGCAGAGCCCTAATGATGGTATATTTTTAAAAAGAAACGACATAGCTGTGAAGCTAGGGATGTAACTGAGTTGGTTAAGTGCTTGCCTAGCTTGCGTGCAACCCAGGTTTGAGCCTCAATCCAGCATAAAATGGGTGTGGGACATGTTTTTAATTCCAGAACCTGGGAGGTGCAAGCAGGAAGATTAGAAGTTCAAGGTTATCTTGTGCTATGTCTAGAAAGCTGAAGACTAGCCTGGGATACATAACACTATGTCTCAAAATCAAGGGGTCCATCGAAATGGCACCACAGGTAAGGGCAATTGCCACCAAGCCTGATGATATAAGTTGATCCCCAGTAAACATAGGTAGAAGAGGAGCACTACTACAAAATTGTCTGCTAAATGCTCACTAGGGCATGCCCCCTTTACCCCTATACACACACACACACATAAAGTAATAAATATTTTACAAAAAAATAAAAGCAAAAAGCAAAACCAAACAAAAGTAATAAATCACTAAAAGGGAGGGGTGCACACAAAATATCACTATCCCAGCTGTTTAAAATTCAAAAGAGGAAGAAATTTTAAAATGGTTAGGTGATAGAGAGGACATGGAAAAGAAAGCATAGTGACTCACTTCCTCTGCTCACATGTAGAATCCAAAACAAATAAAGCAAATGGAGGGTATACTTCCGTTTCTTTCATAAATCTTTTCTCGGATGTTTATAAAACCTGTGGGGGATACAGTCACCAATACAAATACAGGGCTGTTAACAACTAAGACTTTCCTAAATCTTCCCCAAGGCCTGAGATTTATCTGATTATTCACCTATTTGAAAGCCTAGTCTTGATATGTGCATTGTTAAAGTGGGCAGCCTCTCAGCTGGTACCCAGTGATGCCCAGTTCCTAAGGCTGCCTCAGTTGGGTAATGGTTTGTTTCTCCTTGAAAGTGAGCAGAACTTACTGACTTACATCAAATCAGTGCAATATGGTGGGGAGAGGAATGATGTCACTTTAAAGACTAGGCTTGAAGGGGCTGTGGAGCTGGCTCAGCCGTGAAGAACTCTGGCTGCTCTTCCTGAGGACCCAGGGTTCAGTTCACAGCACCCACATGGTAGCACACAACTCTTTGTAACTCTAGTCCCAGAAAAGAATCAGGCACCCTCTTCTGCTTTCTGAGGGTACTGCACGCATATGGTCCACAAGCATACCCATACATATAAAATCAAAATAAAGTTTTTTTGTTGTTTTGTGTTGTTTCGTTGTTTTTTTAATGTGACTTCCTTCTTAGGCACCTTCTCAGGAGAAGTCAGCTACTACTTCATAACACAGGCCTGTGGTGAAGCCCCCGTGACTATGTGTATAAACAGATCTCCCCTTCCCTCACCATGAATCATCACATGACCTAGCTGCCACTTCACTGCCCGGAAGCTATACTCCAAGCCTGTAGAAGCCTCAAATATCCAAGTGTTTGTTGTTGATTGGAGTCTCCATGTTTTGAGGTGATCCATAGCACATCAATAGCCTACAAATGCAATCTCAAGACTGGTGTCACTCATGTACACTGGAAGAGCATGAGGCGCATTAGCATAACATACATTTAGGGATCCCCTTCCTTGTCCTTTAGAGAAAAACTTCCTGTCGGGGAGAGGAGGCCCCAATAGGGAAAGGAGGGAAAGTGAGCAGAAAATGAAGCAGCTCTTAGAGAAAGCAGAGGCAAGAGGAACACATTGGAGGGGGCCAAGATGGAGATGCCTGGAATGCCAGCGTTGGCAGCTGAGCGCAGCTATGGCCAAAGCTAATACAGAATGATTCCAAATTAGAGCAACAGTGGATGACAGTCTTTGGTTTACTTACTTGTGCAATTAAAGTTTTAAGAGCCAGTAAGCGCCCCTGGGCTGCAGCCTCGTGGAGTGGGGATCGGTCAGCCCAGCAGTCTGAAACACAAATCAAGTTCCTAGTCAAGGTCAGGAGACTTCTTCCTGCAGCTGTTCATGCTTCCCACCCACCATGGGCCTTGAGGCAAGAGAAGAAACCACCCACCACGCATCAGGCCTTGCTGGATACGGGGAGCTGGGTGGACACAGTGGCTCATGCTGCCTTTCCATGGGCAGTTTTAACAAGGAATACACTTTTATTTTCAGATAAACAAAGCCAAGAGCTTCTTCCTGATAACTGTAAGGTCGAGTAAAGTACCAAATGGACCAATTATTAGTTTTTGTATTTCCCATAACTTCACCTCAGTTCCATTCATACCCAAAGTATTACAAAGTAAATCCAAAGATATATGAAAAGAGAGGGTTGTAATATGACTCAGTGGAAGAACACTCGGCAAAGCCTTCAGTTAGAAAGAGAAAAAGAAAGGAGGGGGAAGAAAGAGGGCAGAAGGAAGGAAGGAAGAGAAAGGTGGGAGGATGGAATGGAGAAAGGAAGGAAATGTTTTCCTGAATTGCTGAGGCAATTTTCTCTGATTCTTTTGATAGAATATCTATGTATTTTAATGTAAAATATCCTTTTCAGATGATATGATCCCCTGCCCCCAAATTTTACCCTAGAAAACTGTGCACATGGGGCTGGTAGAGCCAGGCTTCCTGGGCTCAGGTCCTACTTGGACAACTCTTTGCACAGCAGCGTGTTTCCAGAAGCATTTGAATCTCACTTTCCTTATCTGTAAACCAGTGATACAGTAATCAATTTGTCAGGGCTCTCAGAAGGCCAATCAAGTATATTCATAGAGTCAGGTACTCGAGGCCATTCATGATCGATTAATAAGTAGATATTGCAGGGCAGGTCTCTAAGGGTCAGGCTCCAAACTGTTTTATTCACTTTCCTGTAATTATTTCTCTGCCACTAAGACTGACCAGCTTCAATGGGCATTTGAGCAGTAACCATATATGAAAATTTCCAAAGGACAATCATCTGTTTTGAAAGCAGGCCTACTCCAGTTAGCAAGATCTGTGGTTTTATAAGCCTGACTATCCGCTTTCCATACTGAATAGAATGCAATAGACCTCGGCTTTCTTTAATGCAAAGGGACATTCTGAGCAATGTCTTCTAAGTGATCCCGATGGTGGCCAGAGTTCAGGTTTCCCATTATCCACAAACTTGGTAAAAACAAAATCCCACCAGAAATGGAAGTGTGTAGATTTGAAATACTTGAGCAATTGTTATGAAAATGTGATTTTCAAAATATGTAGATATAAAAGAAAATTTAGACAGGCAGTGTAATTGTGCCCTGAGAATATCTAAACCAGAGCCCCTTGAAGAAATAGCTGACTCCAGGCTAAAAAGGTGTGAGGTAGGTGTGTGTGTGTGTGTGTGTGTGTGTGTGTGTGTGTGTGTGTGTCCGTATGTCTGTGTCCTTTAACAGAAAGGAGGGAAGGACAGGGAAAGACAAAATATTGAAAAGGTCAAGGATGACTCAGAGGCTTCTTCTAGTCAAATATGGGACAGCTTGCACATCAAAATAAGCAATAAAAATGCATGCTATCAAAATAGTCCTTGCTGATATATGTAATACATCAACATGGATAAAGTGCTTCTTCCTAAATGACACTGAAAAAAATGTAGAAATAACAGGATCAGGTTCAAATTATCACTATATTAATTATAAAGGGAATGTGCATAATTTTATACTAGAAAATGTAGAAACAATCTTGATCTGCCAAGGTCTTAAAAAAAAGAAAACACACACACACACACACACACACACACACACACACACTGACATCATGGGCCATCTGGTTGAATGCAGTGAGTCACAACGTATGTCATGAGAGGAAACATGGTGTGAAGAACACACTATATTCCTGCCGGTGTTATTCATGCCCCCCAAACCATAACTTAACTCTTAGCAGCAAACCCTGCAGCAGCTCACACAGAGGGGCAGTCTATAAATGAATTTGCCTGGAGCCAGTTGCAGGAGAAATAAGGAACTTTGCAAGAAGGTGAGTGTGGAAGGCAAGGCACAACATCTGTACGTGCTCTTTGGTCTTGGGTGGGACTCCTTTGCTTGGAAAGATATTATTGGAGCAGTTAGCTGAAAATGAATAGAGGCCTTTGGCAAAAGACTGGAAATTCTTTGTACAGCTCTTGTAGCTTCTCTGTTAAAACTAAATCCAGAAAATACTTTTTAACCAGGAGAAAAATAAACAAATATATTAACGAATGGCTTGCCATCTCATACTCCTGCTTTGACTATGAAATGCTCTTATAGTAGAGAAAAAAATATGAAAGGATTTTATATAACAAACTTGCTATGTTTTATTTCCATTGCTATCTGCATTGGTTCAAAGCTGGTGACTCTGACAGTTTACTTAAATGGAAGTGTTTCGTGTTTCTCACTATGCCACTCTTTCCCCTCAGCATCTCCAGGGCACAACTAAACTTGAGGTGAACTGTCTTTGCAGAAGAAGGGGACCTTTGTAAGGTTAAAAGTGTAAGAGAACCAGTCAAGTTGGGGAGAAGTAAATTGGGAAAATTTACATCATGTTGTTTTTTAAGGATACCCAAATTATCACATTTAGACAAGTTTCACCAAGAGCAAAATATAAATACCCTGTAGCAAAGTGGAGCCCAAAGCACTCCATACCAGTAAAACAGAAGAAAAATTGTAATAATGGCTATAAAAGGGAGAATGAACATTTAAGTCAGATTAACCAATACATTTTTAATTTGTTTTACATATAATTTACATCTTGTGGACCTTGCTTGGACTAGCCACAGTGACAATGAAAAGTGAATTCCAAGACATTGCTCATTTAGCATTCTGTTCTGTACCCTTGTTTTCATTTATTGAATGCTGTAGCGTTTCATACCATGTCTGAATATAATTACAGGCTGCAAATCAATTCTAGTGATAAAAAGGTTAACTTAGAGAACAAAGCCCAGCTGGGGAGCAGAATGTTTCTGAGTCTCCTTGAACATCTCTTTGCACTTCACCTTTAGGTTCCTTCTCATTCATACTCAGTCCTTGGCAGGTAAGATTCAGCCATGTTGGGCATGAACACAGACTCTGGAGGTGTTCAGTACAGTCTTTACCCACACTAGCAGTGCAGCAGCCTGAACACCAGAAGCAGCAAATCTTCAGCGTGACTTGGGCATTCTGTTCTTCTAATGATAGCTACTCAGCCCCAGGTGCCTGAAGAACTACAGGTTAAGCATTTCTACTCTGGAGATCAAAATTTTAGAAAAAACATTTTAGAACTCTCCAAAATCCAAAACTTCTAGAGTACTGACACAATAGTGCCCACACATAGAAATTCCATCCCATGAAACTCAGATTCATGCCCCCAAATTATTTTAAATATTACACGAAATTTCATGAATGGATTTAGTATTTAAGCTAAGGTCCCCTCCCCCCAAGACATCAAATATTCTGAACTCTGCGAGAGAGAAAAAAAATCTGAAATCTAAAACATCTGGTTCCAAGCATTTCATATAAGGGAGTCTCAACCTGTAGAGGTAACTTGTTCATACATAAAAACAAGGCATAAGCAGCCACTGAGTCCTAAAAGAATTAGCTTGGGATAGCAACATAACTGCATTTGTAATCCTTAAAACTCACCTCTGGGCAGGCTCTGATGATAACTTTCCCTGTGAGCTGCAAGACCTTGAGCACAGTCCTTAGCCAATTACAGACTTTCTAATAACTTTCCATTATTTATCAGTCCCATTAGACCCAAACCCTAGGCAGTGCTTGGATAAATCACACAAGACTAACGTTGAGTGAAAACAGCCCTAAACAAAGAGGTATGCACTGTGGGGGTTCTGTTTCTGTCAAGGAAAGAAGGAAGGCATACTCACCTTGGGTGTTAGGAGTCAAAAGCAAACTGAGGAGGGATGGGGGCTGACGGGAACTAGGCATGGTAGGAGCCATACTGACAGTAGTCGCTCCCGCTTTGGTTGCTGGCCCTGTTTGTGTTCACTGAGCCCTTGTAGACCTCTCTGTACTGAAGTCTTTAAAATGACTCCACCCACACCTAAACTCGTACTCCGCATCTCTCCCCACTCCCAGCAGAGAACATGGATCTCTCTGGTCCACCAAGCAGCTAGAGGTAGGTCCAAGGGACAGCTTGTTCTTTACGTGCCTCCCACCTCTTTCTTCGAGGTGCCAGTTTCTTTGGTGCTTTGAGGAGGAAAAGAAGAAAAGGGGACAGGGAAGATGACTCCCAGTTACCTAGAAGAGGCAGGCAGTCCCACTCAGCATGCCACAGGATCAGCTAGCATTCGTAGTACTCCTACCCACACTGTTGAAACGAACATTAGGATACCAAGATTGGTTTTCTAAAAATTGGATTTGGTACACTTTGGCCAAACTGAGGAAAGGGGAAAAAAACCTCCTGATTTCATTTGACTTTCCCTGTAACCATCTTACAACTTATAAGAAAGGATGAGACAATAGTCAGGGAGCGTGAACATTTAGCTGTGGTTAAGAGCTGATTTAGCTGTGGTTAAGAGCTGCATGCAATCTCCTCCCAGATGAGCTCTTGCCTTTCTGATGCCAAAGTAACTATTGAAAGTCCCTCCACAGTAACTATGGGATTTCTTAGGTGTGTGTGTGGCGGGGCGGCGGGAGTAGGGGGACTTTCAGTGTCATGAGCTCTACTGATAAATCCTACAGATTCCTCTCAGCATGTGACCCCTGCTAGTCAGCTGCTTGCTTACCCATTGACAGTTGCTTACCGCTTGAGTCTCTTTATCAATGCAATATCCTTAGATGCCCCCCCCAACTAAGATAGAAACTGGTACTTTCCTTGGGTTTCTTCCTCACTTCATCTCTGCTTTGCAACCCTGTCTCCATGCTCCACCCCCAGGTTGCATAGCATCACAGGACAATTCACTCAGGCTCCTGCCCAAGAAGAATCTTTCCCTTATCTGTCCCTTGCCTAAAGCCCCATGACCTCCATGGGAGAAGGGAAACTTGCTTTATGCATAAGAACACCCCTGAAATGAATGACAACCATTTTGTTCCTTAAAGGTTTCATTGCTAGTAAGCCTTAGAAATAAGACCAAAAGCCAGGCTTAGGGATTTAGGACCTTGCTCTGTTTTTTAAGAACTATTGGTCTCTAAATGCAACCTATCCTTGTGCTCCATTCACTTGTATTGGGAGGCTTTGTCATCAGGTTATTCTGACTGAGAGTGTGAAAGGGGTGCTGGGGATGTAGGTAGCTAAGTTGTTAAAGTTCTGGCCTAGCACACACCAGAGCCCTGGCATTGTATAACCAGGGGAGGTGTAGCATGCTGCACTCTAGAGAAGGAGGCCTAAGGAAGGATCAGAAGTTCAAGGCCATCCTAGGCTACACAGAGAGTTTGAAGACAGCCTCAGACTGAGACCACCTCAAGGGGAAAAGGTTTGAGATGAGCATGATAGTGTACACATGTATTAACCCAGCACTCAGGAAGCTAGCAGATCTCTGTGAGTTCAAGACCAGCCTGGCCTATATGGTAAGTTTCAAGCCAGCCAGAGCTGCATAGTGAGACCCTGGAAAAAAAAATGTGCCATAAATTGTTTGTATTCCCAACTGGAATCAGTATTACTCTCCAGGGTAACCTTTTCTGTCCCATTGTTGATGACTACCCCCTACAAAGCACCTGGAAGGTTTTCACACAGCTATGTTCCTGAATGTACCACAGTGAAGATCACTTTGATTGCATTCTTCTCAAGACAGCATTTCATATCATTCTTAGTTGCAAATTGGAGTAAATCATAAGAAATTAAGGTTTAAAGTTATTTGGCAGATGAGGAGTTTTTCCATTGTTCTTAGTAAATATGTAACCAAGTTCTCACAGTACATGCATACTTACATAGGACTCAATCAGTTCTTTCCAAGATACTCTATTTTTACTTCCTTGGCACCCTGCCTGGGTCACAGCGCTGCAAATATATTATGAATATAGTTTACAAATATGATCACGCCTGATGAGGTGTAGAGAAAATGTTCAAGTGTGTTTTCACTTCTCCCTTTGCATCTTCTTTCAAACTATGATTTGTAGCTCTGGTTCTCAGAGTCTTTGAATAAAATTCATGATAATAATAATAATGTCCAATCAGATAGAATATGTTTAAGTTCCAAGAATTCAAAATAAAAGCCAATGACTCTTTTACATTTTTTTCAACAACATTTTCAACAACAATGGGGCCTCGTTGGGAAAAACATATTATAATGAAAATTCTGATACCTAAAATATTATAATGGAGTTAAATGAATATTCACTAGAACATCCAGTTCTGATCAGAAGATGAAGTTTGGTCAGTGACCTGTATTAAGAAGTCTCCTTTGAACCCATTAGGGGACAGAAAGCTGAGCTAGCTACAGGTAACATGTGGAGACAGAAACTCTGCCAGGAACTCGTTGTCCCTACTTGGAAACAGTCAGCAGGCACCTGAGATATGAACCACTCAGAGGGCAGTTAGGTCAGGGTTTAAGGAAATAAAGAGGGTACTAAATAAGGCAAAAGGCTAGGTAGTTGCTAGGACAAAAAAAATGCAACAAAGGTAAGAATACAGAAGTGCAATGGAGAGGAGTCAGGGAGGACTCAGGCCCTCTGGAACAAAAACTAATGATTTTGAATGTAGCACTTGGAAAATGAACTAATGTTTTTGCATTCCCTTAAAATTGTTTCTGTTTTTCTTTTTGAAAGTTCTATAATCTCATATCTACAACTATAAAATGTTCCAACTTCTAAATCTCCCACCCAATTTTATGGCTACAGCTTTGGTAGTAAACATGGCCAGGATTCCGGTTAAGCGATTGCTCCCTTTCATTTGTTTTCATTTGTTGCGAGTGTTTGCATATTACAAGAACTGAGCAATTCTGCCTTGAACTGAGAGTCTTTCTATGTCAACTCACTAGCTTACTATCAAATATTTTCCAAACAAACCTTTGTCTAATAAATGAACCACAAAGATGATATCTAGTTTGAGAATAACATTGCCACAAAAATTTTTTACTTTTTTTCAACAGTGTTTCAATAGGTAGCCATGGCTGTCCTAGAACTCGCTGTGAGACTAGGCTGGCCTCCCACTCACAGAGATCTACCTGCTTCTGCCTCCTAAGTGCTGCAATTAAAGGCGTGCACCACTATTCCTAGTTCAAAAAATCCTGCTGCTGCTTTACATATGTAACTATAATGACAAAAGAAAAAAAACTGTTAGAATCATGCAAAAGGAAAAAAAAGCCCTACTGTTTTGGACATGTAACTGCCAGTTTATTATAGAAAGATATCAAATCTGAGTGTACTATCATACATGTGAGATGTATAAGGACACGAATAAACATAGGCAAATGCATACATACATATATACATATATGTATACGCACACAAACAGACACAGGAAATAAATAAACTAGACTTACCTGCATTAGCCTCAGCACCACCTATTTTTAACAGTATCTGAAAATAGGTGCCATAGCAGCAGGCTGAACAAGATGGCTGCTCAACAGAGTCAATCAGTCTCTTAAGGAGATTTGAAGTTTGGCTCCAGATTAAAATCCAAAGCATGCTTACACAGGTTCTGAGTCCTCTAACACCCTCAGAAGTACACTTCAGTAAGGACTACAATGACAGGAGTCATTTACAGGAATAATTGGAGAAAAACTTTCACACTCTGCTGATTCAGTCCTGTCAGATCTTGCCTAATTCAAATCACAAGGATGACATATCTAACAGAATATCAAATGCTAGCAAGTCCCTGTCCACATTTATAAGTCAGAAATACCTTCCTAGATCACCCTTAATTTGAAACGAAAGAGAAACATTAATGTTTTGCCACCAAAGTTACATACCTCCCTGAAATGCGTGACAGATATAATCCCCAAAAGAAATCTCTTTCCACAGTCCAGGCCTACTGACACTGTCTTCCTCAGCTAGGTGAAGCATGCCGATGCTTTGTCTTAGAGTTCTTGTTTCTTTATGTAAGATGCCTAGCGTTTTCCAAGTTGTCTACTGCATTGAAATCACAAAGCATGTCTATTTTGAAAGATAATCCTGGATGCAAATTGAAACAGACACCAACTAAAGTATGATGCAATCCAGGAACTCCTGTGAACACTAAAAATACATACAGCAGCTCTGAACGGTGTTTATGAATCTCATCCTCATGGCCATAGTCCTCCTCCATAAAGGGGCAACCCCAGCAATGACGCATATCTGCTTCAGTTACTTTTGCAGTTTCTCACCACAATTAAGGTGAATTGTTTCTGGAAAGGAATGTAGATCAGCCCCAACAAGACAAGACTAAGATGTTTTCTGTTTTACCAAAAATCTTAGCAATTTCTTTTGTGATAATAACCTTCACTTTGGTGATTGCTGTAGAGCCAACAGTGCACAAATAGGTTTAGTGAAGTTTTGCTGTCAATCAACTCCATTTGTAAGGGACAGCACAAGCTATATACAAACAGCATGCCACACTGACTGCTTTTCAGTCAAATTAATTGGTCATTTAATTTCCCAAGGAAATTTAGTCTTATTATAATGCTCTTTCTTGTTAGTTTGACTGAAAGTATTGATGAAAAATAATGCTATGTAAGAACTCTTTTGGTTAGTGGAAAGTGTCTCAATAGCTTTTATAACAAACTATTCTGTTTACTTCTTAAATAATAATTGTGACTAGATCCACCAACTTGCAAGACAATAAAGCTGAATATCCTTCAGAACTTGGTGCAGGCAACATCATTTGCCACTTCAAGTGACAGATACACTTTAAAACTACACACAGCACAAATGGACAAGGAAAGCTTACCTTCCAGAAACACTATTCATCTGAATTTTCAAAGAGGAATTTTTGAGGTGTTGGGAATAAATTCAAGTATTTTTTTTTTACCTGACAGTCCACCATAGATCTCTTCTGCTATCCTGGCTGCCTCTTTTCTGTTTCCTTTGACAATGTAGAAATGGGTTAGGAGAGCCAAGAAAACTTTAATTAAAAGCTTGAAAAAGAAAAACATTGCAAACAGTGTCAGAAAAATGTTTTTAAAGCCATAAAATGCAGGACCATCTTCCATTTTGGCTTCTTCTCAGCATAGGCTCCTAGGGCTGCAAATTTTTACTGAGTTATAATTGGCATCATATGACATCTATTTTAAACCTAGCACTCAGCGCTCCTGTTACCAAGAACTCTGTCTGTAGGTTCTAATCTAACTCTGTTGTGGAGACTGGGTGTGTTGGTATTTGTGGCAATGTTAAACAACTTCCTTCTAAAAAGAAACACTCAGTGCTGGCCTGGAGAGATGGCTCAGCGATAAAGAGCACTGGATTCGACTCCAGCACATGGCCACTCAAGAGAGAAACCCAGTTGCAGTGGACCCAATTGTCTCTTCTGGCCTCTCTAGGCACCAGGCATGCACACGGTACACATATAGACATGGAGGTAAAGCACCCACACATGTAAAATAAATAATAAAGTAAAAATGCTAAAAGTACTTGGTGTTCACAACCTACATTGAATTTGATCAAAACACATTAGATGCACTTATAGAAGTCTCAAACAAGAAAAAAGAAAGGACTTCCTATCCTAATCTCACTTCCACATTCCTTTTAAACCCTTATTTTTGATGTAGTGTGTTGGAACATGGGATTGGAAAGATAAAAGGATCTTCTGCATTCCTATAGTAACAAAGCAATACAAGAAAGTGGGAATATACCATACACTGTGTTCATCATAAAAAATACTGTTCGTGGGGGTACTTCACTTGCTTTTCCCATGGAGGGTTACAAAGGATTAATCCCAAATCTTAACTATGACTAGTCAATAAAAAAAAGACTCTTGGCTTTATAAAATCTGAATGCATTTTTCTCCAAATTAAAAGTTTGAATGTGACTGAAGTACTCAAATGATTCTGGTGACAGGTACTGGCACCTGTGACAAGTTCTCTCAGGACAGTTCTTTGTTTTTCTCAGTGTGATATCTTTATTTTCTGCTCCCAAAGTGTACAGTGCCTTCAGCAATAGGGTCTTATCATCCAGTTCTGGTAGACAACCAAGTGGATTGCCAATAGCCTATATTGCCTTGTGGGCCTCTGGGGGTTTTGGTTTGTTTTTCCTTACACAATTTCCTCTCCTCTCCTTCTGTTCTCTCTCCCCCCCAACTCCCTTCTACATCTCCCCCCATCCACTCTTCCTCCATTTCCATTCATAAGGGGTAAGGCCTTCCATGGGAGTCAACAAAGGGTAACATATCAAGTTGAGGCAGGGCCAAGCTTCTTCCTTGATCATTCATTTCTGTTTGAAGCTCCACTGAAGATGGCATCCCCTGGAGGATGTGGCCCATCCTTGATCATTGAAGTGTGATAACAAAATGGATGAATGCCATGTCCTAATTTCCAGGAGAAGTCACCATAGATTCCATGACTCACTATCTTCCTTAGCTGGGCAGTGTTCTCTTATCAGCTGGCCAATACAAGTAAAACTGATTTGTTTCTAGTCTCCCTCACTAATATAAGTCTTCTTTTCTTCCTGTTTATATGAGGTTTCTCTACATTTCTAAAATCTACTGAAAGTGCAAGTGTATACATATGTATACATATACATATATTATGTATATGGGATTTATTAGAATAACTTATAGACTGTGGTCCAGTTAGTCTGTCTACCAATGGAAGGTCCAAGAATACAGTTGCTTTTCAGCTGATGAGGCTGGACGTGTCAGCTGGTCTTCAATAAACACCAGAATCCTGAAGAAGTAGGCTCCATTGCCAGTGAAGGAATGAACTTGCCAGCAAGAGGGATGGCAAGCAGGGAAAGAAGAATCTTCCTTCTTCCATGCCCTTTACATAGGCTGCCAGCAGAAGGTGTCCCCCATTATAGGTGAATCTTCCCACCTCAAAGACCTGGATTAGATGTAGGTCTTCTCCATTCAAATGATTTAAGAAAAGAAAATCCCTCCCAGATGTGACCAGCTGCTTGGGTAATTCCAGATGTAACTAAGCTGGCAATCAAGGATAGCCCTCTCAGAAACCTAAAGTACAATTTTAAGAGTAGAAATTTGGGGGCTTTTAAAAATGCTTTTATGTATATGAGTATATTGCCTTTATGAGTGCCTGGTGAGTGTGGAAGTGAAAAGTGGGTGTGGGATCCTCCAACTGTAGTTACTAATGTCTCTGTCTTATCGGCCGAGCCGTCTCTCTAGCCCCAGGAGCAGTTTTTTCATATAAAATATGAGTTTTCCAGCAAACTAGAATAACTACCTCTATAATAACTGATACAGTCAACTTTTCTGTTTTTTGTTTGTTTGAGACAGGGTTTCTCTGTAATGGCTCTGGACCAAGCTGGCAGAGATCTCCCTTGAGTGCTGGGATAAAAGGCATGCACCACCATGCCCAGAGTAAAGTCTCCAAATATTTTAAAGGTATCTCCCCAGGTACAAGACTGTCCTCCACCTCCTAGCTGATCCCCACTGAGTCATAGCTTAATATATACAATTAAGAACAAAATTAACTTCCCTAGGTACTGTAAAATACAAATTCTATGTAGAAGGTTAATTTGTGTGGTTCCATATTTAAAAATCCATCCAGAGGCCGAGAAGTTAGCTCAGTTAGTAAGGTGCTTGTCTTACAAGAATGAGGATCTCAGTTCTATCTCCAGAAACCATGTTAAAACATGCCATGTCCTTCTAATCCCAGCATTGGGAAGCAGGAACAGGCAGATAGATGTCTGTTAACTTAGTCTGTTTGGTGATTTCCAGCTCAGCAAGAAACACCTGTCTAGAAAAGGAGATAGGTGAGTGGCAGTAGAGTGCCTGACTCCAAACAGGACATCTATACCACCACCCCAAGGTTTAGGGAACATGAAAGAAGAGGAGCCGGAAAGAATGGAAGCGTTGCAGGATGGGAGGTATACTGCAAAGAAATGTATTCTGGATATGACCACTTCTCTTACAAACTCACCACAGTTGTGGTTACCTGTACAAAATGGAGGCCATCACCATTCCATTCCTTCACCTAGGTGGGAGGGGCTCAGAGGATGGACATCCCACCTGAGGAACTATTGGCAGTCAATGGTTGTTGGGGGAAGGATGCCATTTTGTTGAGTGGTGTAGCCACTGATATGTTGCCTGTGTGCCAATAAATAATCTCCTACACACACTCTTACAAACAAATCTCATTGAACTCAGAAAAAAGAGGAGGAAGACTTAGCAAGGAGGCTTTCAATGGGGAAGGAGGGGAAATGAGAGGGTAATCAGGAGGGGCATGAAAAGAACCAAAATCCATTATATAGATGTATGAAAGTCAAATAAAAATACCATTTTAAAAATTCTCCTAAATTCCATTTGTCAAAGAATCCATGACATAATAAAATAGTCTATTCTCCTTTTGTAAGTGGATGTTTGTGGAATGACACTAGACACTGCCAACCTCTACAGATACATGCACACAAGTATGCAATTGCATCCATCCACCCCACCCAATCCAGCCACAGTATAATCTCATTTTAGATCAAGCAACCTGGGAGCTGGAAAGCTGGCTAAATGGTTAAGAGGACTGGCTACTCTTGCAGAGAACCTGAGTTCAGTTCCCAGAACCCATACAGAGCTTATAACCATCTAAGACTCCAGTTCCAGGAGATCAAACACCCTCTTCTGACCTCCCTGAACACTATGCATATATGCAAGTGTTGCACAGACATACATGTAGACAAAACAGCCATACCCACAAAATTTTAGAATTAAAGAAAAAACGTTGTAAGAAGATCAAACCACCTTCTTTTGTGAGACAAATCTGAACATGAATAAAAATAATTGCTTATTCCTAACCTAAAGAGTGGGAAATGATAAGCTCGGTAAACAAAGTAAAAAAATCAAATATCTCTTAAAACAGCTGGCAACATACAAAGTATAATTACGTAGTTTACACACACAATAGTGTGTGGATGTATTCATGTGCCTTCTGTGATAGTAGTGAAAAACAAGGGCTTATTGGAATCAGGAAACAAAGGTACAATTGAACTTGCTATTTCAAGAATACAAAAGAGCATATATTCTAGGAATAAAAGATGACAGAGTGGTGCATCAGACAAAGGATACTTCCTGTTTTACTAATAGACCAAGCAACACATTAGATCTACTCAGAGGAGGAGGGGGTGTCCCACAAATCAGTAACATCCTGTCCACAAAATAAGACAAACTGAGGATACTACTAAAACATCATTCTCGTCTTTATTATTGGACATGAGCATGTTTTAACAGACCGGCTTTATGTGTGGGACTGTAGCATCAAAAGAATGCAGTGCCTTTTTGGCAAATTCCTCATCCATGTTAATTTTGTTTTTAAATAATTATGAGTAGCAGGGTGAAATACTGTTTCCACATGTGACCAGTGCAACAATTACAGTTATAATTAAGGTATCCAGGAAGCCTGAAACTCATTTCTGTCAAACAAATAAGTTTATTTTCACTTATTCAAAATAGAGAAATATAATTTTAATTCATAAATTACACATTTACACACAAGAGCAAATTAATTCTCAATTCCATTTTTATCTTAAATAAAGAACAATCGAAGCATTCAATAACAATTTTGGCAAAAACTAGAAGCAAACATATAAGAAAAATGGTAGTATAAAATAAATAAAGCCAAGTGTTCCACATATCTGTTTACCAGAATATTGGCACTGTGTGCTATCTGTACGCCTGTCTCCATGCATAAAATTTCAAAGACTGAACAGCTGGGACCAGGTCATTTTTCCCCACTAAAAGAAGCCCTAACTTTTTATTTTAAAAATTACTCTCTAGAATTTCTGTTTTCATATAAACAAAACATACATATATTTCTTTAAATCAGTGGCAATCAGTTATTAGGCATATTAAGATACTCTTTAAAAAGTCTTACAAATGTCATCATTAAAAAATTCAGTACAGAATTACAATACTGATAAAATTGAACACCCACAAGTGCCTTGCTGCTTGTTTCGGTCCTTTTCCCACAAAAACCCATGCAAAAGAGTTCAGTGGATTAATAATACATATCACACGTAATTTGGGATTAAAGAACCCATGGCTCTGGATGATCAAGACTTCCACCCACAAAGAGGCTGTGTGCTCTGACACCTTTCAGACTTGATACTCTACAAACCATTCTGGAGGAAAACCTTTCCATACACTGGCAATACTTATCAGAAATCAGCTAGGCCATAGGAATGAGGAGGGACTTCCACACAGAAGACAGGATAGCAGCTGGTTTTGAGATGGCACACCTTTTCTGTTCTACTCAGAAACAACAAAGGTGTTTACCAGGACTAAACTGGGCGCTACAAAAGCAGAGGGCTGGCCTGCACTAGTTATCAACAGTGGTATCGGTCCATAGAACTTAAAAAGCAACATTTCTACACACAGACACACACAGAGACAGACACAGAGATAGACAGACAGACAGAGAGAGAGAGAGAGAGAGAGAGAGAGGGAGGGAGGGAGGGAGGGAGAGGGAAAAGGGCTCTTTCTAGGAGAATGCATAAAACAGGTTCAGAGAGGTACTTGGAGTATGCCAGTGATGATTTTCTGACATTCAGTAGCTTGAGCATTTTGGCATGTTTGCTGTTTTACCGCTTCTTGTTCACTAGTCCTTAGTCTCAGCAAGCATCTAGTTCAACTTTCATACACAGCAGGTGCAAACATGCTGGCAATCAACAGTCTTGCTCAAGAAATCAGTTTAGATGTAATGCTTGAGTGGACCCAGTAAGTATCCAGAACATGACTTCAATGTCCAATGAAGGATACATGCATTTGACTTAAAACAGTTCACTAACTGTTGTACCTCCCTAAAGAAAGCTTGTAAACATCTGGTAAATGTGAATTAATGGTATTATGTTAAAAACTGGCCAAAACAGATCCAGAAACATTTGGCCTTTCAGCACCCAAGGCTCCCAAAATATAATGTTAAAACATCTCTGCTAGAGGGATCTCAGTAATCTGAAAAATGTCATACCTGAGTGGCTAAACCATTCTCCCCCAAATTTTTAAGAAGTGCAAAGAGTTTCCACACTCAGGAATTGCATAAGTGTTTATCTTTCTTCAAGAAACAAAAGTAGTGAATGATATAGAGGTAGCATAATTTACTAAACCAACTCTGAAACCCCAAAACAAAAGAAAAAGGTAATTTTCAAATGCTAACAGGAGTACTGCAAGTGTCTAGGACTTGTGGACTTGGGCTTACTTCTACCTGCTTTTGGATACCTTGGCATTCTCATCACTTTTCTTATCATGGGGATATTGACGAGTCCAGGCTCCCCTTGGCCCAGTAGCATCTACTGCAACATCAATGATAGAGTCTGGAGTCATCCATTGCAGGAAAAGGAGGAAGAGATAGCTGATCACTGCCAACAAAGCAAAAATGTAGCCTGTCACTGGGCCACAATGAGAGATAAGCCTGTTCAATCTCTTGTGCATTGGCAACACAGTTTCCTTCGACACACGCTCGTATACCTGCAAGAGAGAAGGTGACACTGAGCACTTGAGCCACCATATGCCTGCTACAAAGGGTGATGACCCATGATCTGTACTGACAAGGAGCATCTGGCAAATGTGTTAAGAGAATCACCCATGTTTGTTGTCATTTAGTATTGTGCTTACCACTGACTTAATTCTGGGCTAAACAGTGAGTGACACAGAGAACAGGTGACAGTCATCTGACTACTGGAATACCCAAGTACTATAGGGTCTTCGGCAGGCACACTGTTGAAACGAGCCAATGCCTTGAGTGAAGAAAGCTCTTACTAATGCCTAGCAGAGGGCACACACAGACGACTGCAGACGGATGGAGACACTACAGAGATACGGCTTCTATGTAGCAAGTAAAGCAGGAAGAAGACAGAGTAGATGCTGAGTGGCAGAGTAGGAAAAAACAATGGTAAGGAAAACAAAAAGGGCTGTGCTAAGAACTGGGTATTGATGCCTGGCTTTGTAAGCCACTGCTGATCCTACATCCTGAAAATACTAGACATGTAAACTTGTCTCCTTGGGAATTGGGGAAAGTCACAATGGACAAGGCAGCTCTACTGAAGGTGGGTAGCCTTAGAAAGACATGATGCACGTTCATCTAGCTCCTCTACCCTGCAGACAATTTAAGTAAAAAAAAAAAAATTAATCAGAATGATGTTGAGAGACCAAGGCTGAGGGATTGCAACAGATAGGCAGGCAGGCAGGCAGAAAGACAAAGACATAAAGTTCTAACTTTTTCTTTGGAGACAGGGTTTTATGTAACCCAGGCAGGTCTCAAACTCATTAGGTAGATGAGGAAATGCTCATTTTGTTACTACTTCCAGAATGCTGGATTACAGGTGTATACCACCATGCCCAACTTGCGAATTTACTTTTCCACCAACATTCTAAGTAACCCAGTCAAATTAAAAAGAGTTGAAAAGGATCAAAATGCCTGTGCCATAAAAGGTAAAAGAACTTGTTCACCTTCACTTGAGGACAATTAATTTATTATCTTAAGTAATAAATAGTTTACAATTATAAAGAGAACATAAATGTTATAAATGAGGATTTACTTTTTTTTCTGTCTGGCTTTTTGAGACAGGGTAGCACAGAACTAGTCTAGATCTCACTGTATCACCCAGGACAGCTTGAAGCATTGTTATTCTCCTACCTCAGACTTCCAAGTGTAAATTACCATGCCTGAATGGATTTTCCCCTTTCCTTATATTTTACTTTTTTTCTGTTGTTTTTGCAAATGTGTACTATAAATATCAGAGGGTATGAAAGAAAAATGTATTTTCTACAGGAAATAAAATATTACGCTTCTCTTCAAAATTAATAAAGACCAGATTTGACTGTGGAAAAAAAAAGAAGAAAAGAGTTCCTGTCTCCATATATTCTCTCTGCCCAGCCATCTCAATTCCTGTCTGTCTGTACAGGCCTCCAGACCTCTATGGTTAACTAGTGGCTAGCTCCACCCTCTGATCTTCAAGCAAGCTTTATTTGTTAGAGTATAAACAAGATATCAATATACATCTCAAGACTGAATTCTTCAGTCTCAGAGCAAATGTGGTATCATTGTTTATCCCGAATCTGCTGTGTAAATGTAGATCCATATAATAACAAAGGGAGACAAATCTGTACAGGAATCAAATGTGTGTAGGGAGGAATTTTCCTCAAAACTAATGCAGGCAGCTGCCTCTGTCTTCTGGGGTGTAGGGCTGACTGTGTGACTGGACTGCTTTGAATTAATCAACCTGTAGAATGTTATCTATAACAAGCAAATTAGAGCTTACAAACATGCTGTTAAAACTCAAGCTAGACCATCAGCTTGTCTTTTAAGAGACAGACTGTCTCTGGTATGGTTCAAGAGCTGAGGTTGTGTGCTATTAATAAAATGCACACCGCATTTCAAAAAAAAGAAAAAAAAAGAAAAAGAACACATGTTTTACTATTACATCAAAGCAAAACTACAAGAAAAATATAAAATGCTAATGAGCACTTTTAACACAGGCAGATAAATTGCCATCACAACTCTTTCTTGAGTTGCTCACTGACAACAGCTCAGACTTTGGAGGTTTGTATGATGACAAAAATCAAATCACAATTTACAGCGGTATGATTCCAAATCAGGGTGGAGTCCAAGATCACCCAAAAAACCTGTCTGGCCAAATATTCCTGCCAACCATAATCCAAACTGAGTATCTGTTCCACAAAGGGCAAGTAAGAATTTAAGGAGTGGTTGGGGAGGTAAAGGGACAGAAGAATGGAGAACGTAGTATGAAGTGGCTAACTACGCAATTGTGACAGGCATCCCCACAGGCAACTGGTACTCAGTCCAACTTCCTAATTTGATATACTTCTTCAGTCAGTTATGTATGTTTCCAATACCTCTTATGTCAATGAGTCAATGAAGCATATAGCATATGTTCATTTTTAGAGATAAGAGATCAAATGAGTGAAACCTTGTATCTCAAACCAAGAAATATTCTCCAGGCTAGAAAACCACTGCTCCACTGTATTAACACCAAAAGCATAAAACCCCAGTATAAACCATGACCCTCTGTGCTCCAATCAGCTGGTTTTCTGGTACAACACTTATTTGTTTGCTTTTTTTTTTTTTTTCCTTTTCTTTTTTTCAAGACAGAGTTTCTCTGTGTAGCCTTGGCTTTCCTGGATCTGTAGATCCGGCTGGCCTCAAACTCAGAGAAATCTACCTGCCTCTGCCTCCCGTGCACTGACACTAAAGACATACACTGCCATTGCCCAGCTGGTGCTGGAGTTTTACATACTAAGAAGGGTAAGTTGTTTTCTTCAGCTTGGCATGTGGTAACATGAGGAATGAGGCAGAAGTAGACAGGGGAGACCTAACAGATGAGACTAAGCAGAATACATATGACAGCATTTTCACAATCACCCTCTCTAAGAGGATGTCATCCCTATAAGTGTCTCCTTGGAAAGTCCCTGTGGCTGCTTTCTTACTGCTGACTGTGTGTTCTTAATTTCAAATATATTTTGAATTCTAATATAGTGTCAATTAACCTATAGTTATGACAATTCTTTCTGGCAGAGTGTAAGTCATCAGGAAAAGCGCGACCTGAGTTCTGGGAAGTATTCTAAACATTCATGATATAGAACAGGCACTGCAAACACCTACCCATTTGCTAACAGGTCCTATTGGCTGCAGCATGACAAATAGTCCCAACATAGTGATTTTACTTCTCTTTTTGCTTCTGACTGCTGCAACTTCTAGAAACTTTTGTGACTTCTTCAGAAAGAGTTGAATGAAACTAGAATGTGTTGTTACTATTTTCAGAGTCCAGGGCAGTGATTTATGTAGAAAACTGCCAAGCATATGCACCAAACCTGAAGTATAAATAATTATTCCTTTTCAATTGGAAGGGCTCATACCCTTAAAAACCAAAACTCAAAAGGCAAGCCTATATGCCAGAGAAGCAAAAAATCAAGGAATTCAATTTTTCTCAACAAGGAACATACTTTTTCAGTTCTCTCTGCGACATTCCTCCAGGTGTAGAAAGACTTCACTACATTGTGGATATTTTCTGGAGCTGGCAATGTCCCCGACTTCACTTGGAAAATAGCTTTTTCCAGGCCTTCACACAAAGATTTGACTGATGGCTCACATAATATAATAAGATTTTCTGGAAGGACTTCAGGAATCCCACCGACCTTTGTGCTGACCACCTTAAAAAGACCAGAGACAGCACATGATTCAATGTAATTTCTCAGGAAAAGCATAAGACCAAGCTTAAAAAAAAATTGGCATGTTCTACAAATACAGAATCCCACAAGAGAAGCCCTTAAAGTGTTTTACCTGCAGACCACAACTGGCGGCTTCCACGATTGCCATGCAGAATGCTTCAGTGAGGGAGGTGTTAAGAAAAATGTGTCCTTGAACTAAGACATTTCTAACATCCTTGTGTTCTAAAGCGCCCAAAAGTTGCACCCTAATTTTTGCAGTGAAAAGGAGAGAAAGGTATATATATATTTATTTAAAAAAAAAAAGAAGTCATGCCACAAAATAAATTTAATCCCTAAGCCAAGTCTCTTATTTGTATTACTCTTACTAGTACTAATGTTTCCTATCTCAGAAGATTAGATATGGTCAAACCCTAATATAATCGAAACACCTTTAGAAACCTGTTGTGTTACAGCTCATACAATGCAGTTTCATCTTCCCAAACTAGTTTGTGTTTAATGAATATTAAGTTTTTGTTTTTTCAAAACAAGGTCTTACTATGTAGTTCTGGCTGTCCACAAACTCACTATGTAGAGCAGGCTGGTCTCAAACTCAGAGATCCACCTGCCTCTGCCTCTCCCTCCCAAGTGCTGGTAATAAAGGCATGAGCCACTATGCCTAGTTAAAGAAAAATATAATAAAATAACCATAATTAAATGTTACAAGTGTCATTTCTATGTGGGAAAATAACCTTTTAAAAATCATCACTTTACATATACACAGACTGTATGTTAAAGAAACTATGGAGCAAAAGATCTGTCTGAACCTGCATGCATACAGCAATTTACATGATTAGATCATGACACTTAAATCATAACATGAGTGAAACCATTTCCAACCAAAGTTCTCCTGCAACCCCCATGCCTCTCATCAAGCCTCTAACTTCTGCCCCCAAATCAATGTTCAGCTAACCAACAAACATTTGTATCCAGTAAGCTTTCTTATTTGATATAAATTCACAAAAAATGCCTTATATTTGTATGCCCCTTATAAATAGAAGCAGGATCACACCTAAGTTGGGCATATGGTCAAAAGCAAACATAAATAACTGCCATTTTCATACCCACAATGCCTTGCAAGCCATTAATACCTGTCATGTAGTTGATATCTTTCCCGTACTTCTTCCAAAATAATTCTCTTTGGTCCCTCTCCTCCAATTAGGAAATTTAATTCTTGATATTTCTGACAGAGTTCAGGTATTATACCACTAAGCAAATCAGTCCCTGAAATTATAAAGTTGAATATTGGAAATATTAATATTTACCATTTAAAAAACACAGAGTCCCTGAGAATCCACTTATTTTAAATATCAACTATAGCTAGCTTCTTTGCAGTAGATAAATCAAGTCTCTTTTCCCAGAAAGGGGGAATCATTTACCAACTGCCATTAGTTCCCAAGTGTTACAACACTTGAAGATACAGGTTCTGACATGCATTGCTAGTGCCACATACTCAAATCATGAGCAATCCAGTTTCAATGTTGTATCCTTTAAGCCATTCACTTGTTCATACTGCCTACTTCAAAAAACGGTGTGTCATAGCTAAAGCTTATTAGCTTTCTCCATAGCACAAAGCTGACCAGAAATCTAGGTCTCACTCCAGTTCTTAACATTGTAAAAAACAGCCCACTCTCTCCTCATGGCCTAATAAATGCAAATACATACATATCTAAAGTCCAAAGTCTCCAGCTATAAAAGTCAACAGGTCTATGAGTCTACTTCCTGTAGCCAGAAAGGGCAAAGCAATAATCTTAGCTCGTGCCTTCACTTTGTTCAGACTGCAGTTTATACAGAGAATTTCAGAATGAACACCAGTGAATGAAGATGGCAAGGCCTTGGCTGTAAGATCATTATAGTCCATAAACCTAAAGCTACATCTCCCTCTTATTTTTTAAAAAAGAAAAAGCTTTCACATAATATGTAAGCATAATCTCAGGAGACATAAAGCAATAGAGGAAGTCACAGCCTACTGGTATGAACAGTAGCTAGCTAAAGCCACAGCAAATCTGACAGTATTTGGGAACTTAGCTCATCAACAATTACAAACCATACATTCAAAAGTAAACATGAAATAACCTACTGAGCTGAGTTTACTCAATTAAAATATGCACACACATAAATTGACATATGCACACAAACTGCATGTTTTCCACCAATCTTCCTCAAAATAGGCAATATCAATTATAAAGCATGATGGGAAAATATAGGTTCATGTGGATTTTCTTTTCTTTTTTGTATAGATTACAAACCCACACCTTCTGTCATATGGCATGAATTAACTGAATAATGATGAATTCCTATAGATTCTCCTTCAGTGTCTTCTTAATCCAGCTAAAAGGAGCAATCAGATGCTGGGTGTGGTTTGTCATTGCCTATCAACACTACCCTAGCAAACACTCAGGCACTGTACAGCTTCTCTCTGCACTCTCAGAATGACTGTCCCGATCCTCTGAAGTAACCATTGGCTACTGTGAGGTTCTGAAGTTGCCTATGTCTCTGTAAGCTGCTCAGAATTCAGCCACTTTGTGCAATCACTAATGGATTTTCAAAATGATTATATACACCAAAAAAATCAATTCAGTTGTAGGTTTCCTGAATGGTGAAGGCTTCCCATTAGCTATCTTTGTTTCGAGTCTATACACATTAACTGGATTGCTGGACAGCCAGGAAATGGCTTAGTACCACTTTACCACTTAACACTTAGCTTCCTACACTTTATCTATTTCCCTCCTTTAAAAGAAAATATTAAGTGTCCATTCTTCACACATAAAAAAAAGATGGAGCAACCATCACAGTTGCTGACAATGGCTACGTTTACTGAACTTACTATATTCACACTCTACTTCCAATGTACTGGGTCATTTAACCCTGACAAGAACCTTATTCAGAAAGAGGCCAGTCAACACCACCAATGCTTTATTATGGTACTCTAGGAATAAAGCAGGTTTTCCCCTCCTTGCTATTAAAAAAAAACAAAAAAACAAAAACCAATAAGCTTATTCTGTCTAGATTCTAAGAAGCCTCTAACACAAAACACAGCCAAGAAAAACACTATCAGTTTATACATTCACATACACAACCCCCCCATTCAAATTGACTTGGAATGTTCAGATCTGTTCCAGAATAACAATGGTAGGGGCAGAGATGGAGACCTTGACTCAAGAGCTGAACTCATCTGTGACCTGTTACTTACTGTGTAACCTTAGGCGAGTTACTTACCCTCTCTGAGAACTGTTTCCTTGTCTGTTACATGCAGGTAACACCTACCCTATAGTTGTTGGGGCAAGTGGGGTCTGTATCATGCACAGGCTTTATCAACTGCAGAATACAAATTTTAAGTTGGCATTACCACTACAGCAAGCAGCTGGAGGTGCCTGCACACATAGAGAACAGGGGAAAACTCTGAGTAGATGGAAAAGAAGGCTCAGAAGCCAGCATTTTCTCCACCAAAGCTGGACAAGGAGAACGTGGTTTTAACTGCTTAATCTAAATCTACTTCAATGGGCCTTAGAAATCTGGTCCACTGAACATCCTTCAAGGAAACTACAGCATTAGGAAGGAATGGACTATAATATAACTACTTACATTTGAGCTATAGACATGGCCATTGCTCCTCATGGTACATTTTGCAGGGTAACTGGCCTATGAAGAAGGTTCAGTATATATCTGCTGAGTTACTTAATGGAAAACAGGAAAAGCCATACTTTGACTCCATTGTAGCCAGTTCTAATGGTTAAAATACTACTACACTTATGATATAAAACAGCACATTTAACCTTTGTATGAACAGTTGTGCAGATCGTCTACCACACATGCCATCACGTTTTCTCATCTATCTCATCAAGGTAAGCTATTTGATTAAAAAATAAGTTGGGCACATTTCTGAAGTTATAATAAATACAACACCAGTATTCCAGCAATGGTGCAGAATACAGAATTCCATTCGCATCATCTTGATGACAAAGTAAGACATGATTTCTTTATCCCAGAAAATGTAATGAGTTCAAGGTTTCTAACCAACCTCCACTAACAGGGGTTGTTCAAAATTACAATCATCATCTATACTGACCACCAACAACTCCCAAATATACTACTACATGACAGGGTATAGCCTATTGGCATTTCTTCATAAATTCATCTTCTGCCTAGTCTCCTCATGACTGGACCGAATAATTTAATTAAGTATCACATAAGCTGACAAGTTTCTACAAAAGCTAAATAGTTTGAAAGAACCAATGAATAAATGTCTGGGAAAAAAAGCCCTTAACAGATGAGGAGTGACCTAAACTGGAGAGTAAAACTGAAAACAAATTTAAAATCCAGCACATTGTTTCAAACATTTTAGTCCTCCTCCTTTAAAGGAAACCCAGAGTGGGCAACGGTATATTCTGTGAAGGCAACTGTCTAAGATGGTACAGCCAGAATCTGTGAGCTGATCCTCAAGTTCTATAGCTATAAACCAAGCTCCCTACAATTTAGCATGTGTGTGAATGCTTTACATTTCAATAGTTAAGGGGTGCATGCAGTATCTATTACTGATTCCCCATAAACTTTCAATGATATTTCTGTCTATTGGACAGCTTTTCAAATAGGAGGCCATTTCTGTGTTAAAAAGCAGGTTGTATCAACTGTGCAATAAACACAAAAGCTATGTGGGGACCATTAGTGCCCCAGAAATGCGAAAAACAGAAACAAGAACAAAATACTCCTGAGGGATAACGGAGGTGGATTATAACCTCAGCAAAGATCTTCATGAGTTGTCTCTGAACCGTCACAAAGTTCCTATTGTGCCATAAACAAATAAAAACTGACACAGAGCTATTAAATGACCCATCTTTGATCAGCAATGAGCCAGGTTCTGAGCCTGGGCCACCTACTCCTTTCTGCATCACTTGAATGCTGATTAGCAATGCCTTGCAGATGACCAGATAAAACCAGCAAGTCACAGGACAGCCATGTGCCCAAAAGACCTACTGATTTTGAACAACATGTACAGATGTACAAAGACAAGACATTACCAACAAAAATAGTCTTTAGGGCATCTCTGAATACCTGCAATTAAGAAACCATTACTTCTGCAATCAAAAAGAAAAGGGCACACAGTGAGCACATGCTGTTCTGACTACCTGTGCAAGGCTACTGAACTTTTACAAAGATCTAACTGATTAGAGAACATCAGACAGATGCTTTTGTTGTTGTTCAGTAACCATTATAACATAAAAAGTTGGGCAGCATTCACAGCCACTCTATACATTTCTCTTCTTAGATGTATAAACTTGATATCCAAATTTCCCTTGCAATAGTTACAAGTCATTATAAAGCCACCGCACAAAATGAAAAGGCAAGCAATCATTACATACAAGTATTGAACAGTTTTCAACAAGGAATAAAAAAAGGTGTCAATGCAAATAGAACTACTATTTCATTACCTTTTCGGTAAACAAGTCTGCTGACAACAACAACCGTTATTAAACTATCATGCCTCCTAAATGGTTCTGGAGTGAAGTCAGTAGGGTCTACAGCGTTAGGAATGACGGACACTATTTCAGGATTCAACGCTGCTCTTAGTACAGTGTTTTCCTTACTAGTGTAAGAGACACAAATGATGTGGTTTGTGTCACAGAGAGACACAGTTAGAAGCTTGTTTGTAAGCACCGAGCTGACATCAGCAAATCCAAAAAGGGAATGGTCCGTGAAGACTGTCTGAAGCCCCATTGTCTTGGCGTGGAAGAGAGCATCATGGGCCATGGCAGAAAAAGAACTGTGGGAATGGATTATGGTAACTCTCTCCCGAACAAATATGTACCTGAGCAATGGCAGACTGTGAAAGAGAGTTGTGGCTGTAGATTGGTTGTACATGACTCTGAGAGGCAAATAATAAACTTTGAGGCCATTGGTGAGATAACGGATGCCCTTTCGATTTCCATAAGCATGGGTGACAACTATGACCTTGTGCCCCCTCTCGATGAGGCACTGAGAGAGCTGGTAAATGTGGCTTTCCACACCTCCCATGTTTGGGTAGAAAAAGTCAGACACCATGCATATACTGTGGGTGCAGGTCCTATTTGTGGAAAGACTTCGAGGGCTAAACTCAGAGGGCGTCACTGAGGGAGGCTGGCCATGCCCACCTCTTCTTCTACTGGCCATGCTGTGGTGGTTCAGGCATCAGTTCTCAGAGCAAGGCAGTTAAGAAATGTGTCTTCCATCACCTGAAAGAAAAAGACAGGACATCAGCTCAAAGACACATCCCACTTCATATTCCAAATCCTGTAGAAATAGTTTTAATGCTAAGGCATTTTTTAAAAAAGCTTTCCCCCTACACTTATTCATTTGACAACATTTACTTGCTTAGCATGGTGATGCTAGATTCTGCAATGTGTTAATTGAGCTAGGAAACTGGTACATTTTAAACATTAGGCCATAGTACACAATACTTTGCCATAGGAACAGACCAACTCTTTCCAATAATTAAATACACACCCATATATTTACCCTCTCCTCATCACTTTATCAGTTTCTACTTATTAAGTCACTATATATCTAACACTACCCAGACTCGAGAGTTATCTATATGCTACTAGTCTAGTTGACACACCTAAACAAGGTGTCAATTCTATAGTACAAATGCAAAGTCTAAAGCTTAAACAAGTTAGAAGAAACACAATGCAGCAGGCTATTTCATTAGTGATCTTCTCTACCCACAGTTTTTAAAATCCAAGTTTTATCTATGTGGCTCACACTGGCCTAAACTCATAATATTCCCAGCCTCTACCTCCTGAGGGCTGGAATGACAGGCATGTGCCACTGCACCCTAGAATCTCCCTTGCATTTGGACTATGAAAGCCACAGGACCTGGAAGAAGTGACCCACAAATCTTTGACTTCGCCCATAAAAGTTCTGATGGCTTTCACTTCTGTAGTTAATACATAAGTCATGCAACTACTGGGCTAGGACATGGGGGAAGCCAGGTGTGCTGGTGAACAACTTTTAGCCCCACACTCAGGACACAGAGGCAAGCGGACCTTGGGTGAGTTCAAGGCTAACCGGGTCTACGGAGTGAATTCCAGAATAGCCAGGGCTAGACAGAGAAACTCTGCCAAAAAAAAAAAAAAAAGGACAGACATGGGAGAGCCAATGAAAAGTGCTTACAAAGTGCATAAAGAGAGTGTGACCCAGCCATCTCTACATCCTTACTGTGCCCAATCTCTAGGCAGACTATTAGCTAAATGCAGCCTTACACATCACCTCAGAAAAGATTCATAAAAGTAGTTAAGTCTAGTAGCAGATTCCAGAATTATGAAAAGTAGCAAAAAGCCTATTGTTTTCTAGCCTATCTTTTGTTCTGGTTTGTGAAGCAGAAAAAGGATCTAAAACAGGCTAGGTTCCAAACCTACTTATTCTGGCACACTATTTTTATAAACACAATTTTACAGGAACGTGGCTTGCTTATTCATTCATGTGAATGGCTACTTCTATGCTACAACAGCAGAGCTTTGAAAGAGATCATATGACCCATAGAGCCACACAGCCTAAAATATTTACCATCTGGATCTTCACAGAAAATGTGCTGATTGGCACTACACAGCTTGGCTAGTGATCTAGTTCATTCCATAAAGTTTTGCTGGGTAGCTTTGTGGTTTCCACTAAAATATACCTGGAGCTAGAACTTCTGTAGAGCACCCTCTTCAGGTGTTACGTGGAACTCATGATTTGGTCAATCCAGTTTCTCCTTCTTTATTCAAGCATGCTGATACTCAAACTGCTCCTTTCTCTTTTCTGAACCTCTTTTCAGCGCAGACTCTAAAAAGAAACAGAACTGGGCATGGGCTATATGTGTGGGCTCTTTCCTACATCTACAGTAGGAAATGTTACATCTACATTAGGAAATGTTTCTTGTTTTTGTTTTGATGGTTTTTGAGACAGTATTTCTCTATGTATCTCTGGCTGTCCTGGAATTCGATCTCTAGACTAGGCTGGCCTTTAACTCACAGAGATCTGCCTGCCTCTCCCTCCCAAGTGCTGGAATTAAAGATGTGTACCACCACCACCTGGCAGAAATGTTTCTTTTAGGAGTCTCCTAAAGCCATGCTGATATGAAATGTTCATTCAATATTCAGTTATATTGATTCTTACACGTTTAATGCTAGAGCCTTGGAGATCTGGCAAAAATCCTCCTTAGCTAAGATCTACAAGGCTGCAAGAAGTCAACGGAGAATTACTATCCTAAACGCTGTTTCACATCTCACCTGCAAACCATATGTGTCAATCAATTTTCTCCAACAAATTCATCTACACTTAAAATATTCTCAGAAATACAAAGTGGGGGAGGTAGGGGAGGATCATGGACTTGGAAGGCAGAGGTTTAAGGGTTCTAGGGCAGATAAGACTGGGCTACATACATGGGTGGACCTTGACACATAAGCTGGAAAAAGAAAAGGGAGAAGATCGACTTTGCAAGCAATAAATAAAATATCAAGAAAGCAAGAAAACATCAAATTTGCAGAAAGAAAGGAAAGCTTCAAGTTAACACTTTTAAGTGGCTAATGCTGTTCTACTGTGCTGTGTCATCTAAACCTGAACGTTTAGTCCTAGTCAGTTTTAAGAAATGAATGACAAGAAAGACAGAAATAATGAACCAGATGAAATTATCTCAAAGTCTATCACTGACCTCCAATGTTCTGTTACTAATCTGCCTGCCAGCAGGTTATCATCCTAAAATCTTTATTGCGTAAAAGCTTGACATACTGCATACTCGCTGAATCTTGGATTCTATAGGTTAAAAGAGGCTCAAAATCCAGTGAATTCATAGAACTTAGGCTGTACGATCTGGTGAATTCTCTCTCGAGCGTTACAGGTTAAGCAATCTGCCCAAACAAAAAATGGCAAAGTCAAAAAGACCTCAAAATTCTCGATCACAGCTAGGGAGCTCCCTTATTGGTAGAAGCTCCAGCGGAGCCTTAGAGAGTGATCGGATCGTGCTGAGGAATCAAACCAACCCTACTTTAATCCAGTGTGCAAACGCATGACTACCTGAGAAGCAGTTGGTTCACTAGCGCCAAAGAAAGGGTCATCCGCCACCCCTCCGGGATCAAGCAAGGTCTGGCCAAACCCAATAGGAGTCAAAAAACATCCTGAGGTTCCAGTTCTTCGCTCTATTAAACTCAGCCTACGAACCGGCACCGGCTCTCAATGAACCCTCAGCCCCATTAAACTCCGGAGACCCTCAGATCCGACTTCCGGGCGTCAGGCTGGGTGGGCTTCATCCCCTCCACAGCCTGCCACGCTACTTCAAGAACTGCACAAGTCCCTCCGAAAGAGACAGAATGTTGGAAAGGACAGCCAAGACGAGCACTTACCCTCGAGTCCCATGGCCGCCACTGTCCGGACCTCCCGCGGCTGTAAGAGGAATCCCTCCCCACTGCTCCAAAGCACCAATCACAAGCGTCCGCGACCCGTGTGCCGCGCCCCCTTGACAGCCAATCACACAGAGGTTCTGAATACACGTGGAAGAGAGACGCCCAGTCATTCCCAACTCTTCAGCGCCGGATAGTAGCGTCAGCGAGCGACTGAGCACGTCTCCTAAGAGCTGCGGAAGGTCCCGGGCGTACGTACCCTAGTTGCCTAGTTACGGCGTCTCTTTTCAGGAAGCCTGCTCTTTCCCCGCCTCCTTCCGGTTAGAGAGACTTGCGGGTGAAAGGCTCTGGCAAGTCAGGGTCAGGAGTTTTATGATCGGCACCACAGCCGCCTGAACCACGCTGGTTCTTATCACACAGATACCAAAAACCCCGCACCAAGTCAAAACTAAATTATGAACTTTTAATTTAAGATCTACATTTCTATGAATGCCCCAAAGACTGAGGACGTTCCTTTTAAAAGTTCAGATTTTGGATTTTGTCTTACAACTCTACAGTCCAGGTGTGTGTGTGTGGCGGGGTGAAATGCTTTCACTCAAATTGTTGCAGTCCTCAGCCAAAAGTGTCTTGAGGTCTGGAGCCAGATCATGCTATAGTGGTACTTGCCCAAGAAGACAATCTATGTGATTGTCATAATGGTCACCTACTCTTTACAATTGGAACTTGCAGTTCCCCGGCACTGCCATTCTGTCACTTCTGATGAAATTCTTTTCTGAGCAACATCACCATGAGTGGCATCCCTTTGAAACCTGTGCTAAGGCTATTTTCTAAGGCTATTTTCTAAATAAGGCTATTTTCTAAAAGTCAAAATAAAGTTGTAGCAAAATTGAGTTAAATCTGCGGGTGATTTTAATTATAGTATTCTGCCTAAATGACCTCAAAGCAAGCTTTTAGAGCAGCAGTTCTCATCCTGTGGGTCCTGACTCCTTTGGGGTCAAACAACCCTTTTACAGGGGTCACATATCCTGTATATCAGATATTAACATTACAATTCATCACAGTAGTAAAATTGCAGTTATGAGGTAAAAACGAAATAATTTTATGGCTGGTGTCACCACAACATGAGGAGGAATTGTACTAAAGAGTTACAGTATTAGGAAGGCTGAGAGCCCCTGCTTTAACGAATGTTATTGCAAACCACTAAGATGTGACTAAAATGTTGTAGTGCAGTATGTTCCAATGATATTAAAATATGAAGGCAGTCAGAACCAGTTGTATTATCAAATGTCCTAAACAGAAAAGATGTAAAACAAATGTAACTATATTATCTTCTCTTGAAATTTAGTTCTTTGCCAATTCATATGTAAATAAGCTTCCTCGGATAATTTTAGAGTGGGAAGACATCACACATGTATCGAAAGCTTGCTATCCATATGCAAATTAGATGAAGAGAAAATCTGGCATGAGTACTATTTCCAAAACAAGATGGAACTAAAGCATATAAAACAGTATATGAGAAAAGGAATTGCTAAGTGTCATAAGAGAAATACATGGAAAAATGCTGGGAGTTTCAAGAGAAAGAATATTTCTGTCTGCTAGCATTTATGAAACAATGAGTAGAAGATATTCATACAAATTGAAAGCAAGAGGTTTTCAAGAAAAGGTGAATGAAGATGCACAGGCAGATGCTGACTGTTCAGTGGATATTTTTGAGTAATTGTTCAAGAAAGAAACAGGGAAGGGATGTGGCCAGAATAGTGACATAATCAGTAAAAATTAGAGCAAATTGGTTGAATGCTTTAGAAAATTTCCTGAAGAAAATGTACTTGATGCTGACCCAGATTTCCAGCAAGTGTGACATTATTTTGTTTCTCTTTTGATTGTTCTGCTTCAAATAGAAAAAATCAGATGTTATGCAAGTGAGAAAAGTGTATGTTTTGCTGTGTGTGTGTGTGTGTGTGTGTGTGTGTGTGTGTGTGTGTGTTTAAGAACTCCAGAGATACAGAATCAAAATTTCAAACTCTTAATCAAGACTAAAAGCTACATAGAAGCAGTGGCAGTAAAATACGGACCAGGGCTTAGCTCCTGTAGAATAATAGATGCTAGCAGGAGCCACATGTGGCCAGGGACTGGAACTAGCCCTATGAGAGACTTTTACATTGTTGGCCTTCAGTAATCCCCCTGTCAGTTGATAACCTTTGTTTAACTCCCTCCCACATGGAGTTTGAGGTTTGACCATGTGGTTTGCTTCATCAAAGGTACTGTTAACAACTGAAAAGCAGCAAATAAATGCTTCATAAGTGTTTATGGACTTGTTCATGCCCTATTGGTACCTTTCCTCTTGAAAGCCAATGGCCATATATGTGAAGAAGCCCAGCCAAGGTGTTAAATGAACACAGTCATATGGAGAAAGACTGAAAAATGAGACTTCTGTTGGTCATTCCAGCTTTAGATGACTTCTGCTTTGATGGAATGACTTCAGCAATATAACATCCTAGCCAATCCTTGTCAACCAAAAGAATCAAACAATAATCTTTAGAAAGTCATTGTTGACTGTAGATACAAAGTTTTTGTGACGTTTGTTACATACCAACAGAAAACTTGCCTGAATCTCATCTCCCCGCTTGATAATGGACATTAAAAACCTTGGTGGCAGCAGTTGGCACCTATCTAGAGATAGCGTTGAGCTACTTAGAAAGTGATCTTCAGTTTGCCATTGTCGCTGCTAGTGTGGTTTATGTCTCAGAGATATACTCTCATGGAGATTTGAGAAGCATGTGCTAGCTCTCAGTGAAATTCTGAAACATTAGAATAGATGTAATAGTAAGAAAGACAACACAGAAATATAGCAAAGAAAATTTAATTTGTTCCAAATGCCATTAAAATAATCGATAAATGTGAACAAATGAAAAATAAAAGGTTTGAAAATAGTATGCTAAGATGAAAGGAACATTAAGTGATAGTAAATAAGCAATTAGAAAATTTGAAGAAGGTATTAATTAATCCTTTTTTAATGTAGAGCTGGAGAGGGATGTAGTTAAGCAGTATCATTCTTTTCTAGCATCCCCAAACTTTTGGCGTTGATCCCAGTACTGGAAACAAATCAAAATGCTACATTTTCTTTTTCTTTTTTAAATCATTTTGGTTTACTTTATATCAACCAAGGGAAAATATACCTATTAAATATACTATTAATAGGCATGATGCAAAGGTTCCCTAAAGGAAAAAGTGGCATTTCTGTCCATCATAATTCTTTTTTTTTTTATTTTACATATCGATCCCAGTTCCCTCTCCCTCCCCCTATTCCTCCCTCCCATGCCCCAGACCACCCTCCCATCCCATTCCCCCCATTCCACAGGGAGGGTAATGTCTTCCAGGAGGGGTCAACAAAATCTGTCAAGTTATTTGGAGTAGGGACTAAGACTCCTCTCCTGTCTCTAGGTTAAGGGAGTATCCCTCCATGGGGAATGTGTCCCCAAAGTCCTTTCCTGCACCAGGGATACATCCTGGTTCAATTGTCAGAGGTCCCTTAGTCTGCTCAGGCTTTCTAACTGAGACCCATGTTCAGGGGGTCTGAGTCAGTCCAATGCTCGATTCCCAGCTATCAGTTTGGGGTCTCAGTAATGCTGCATTTTCTTATCCTGGTAAAGTTGAAGCTAATACCATTACAAACAACAACTGTGAGCCAAAACAATCCTGTCCTTTAGTTTTGTGTATTTTACCATATCAATGAGAAACATTAAAAAAAAAATAGAGAAAATTAGTACTTGGAAGTGGGGCTGTTGCTATGGTAAATCTGATCATGTGGTTCTTCGGCCTTTGAAAACCCCTAAAATGCTGTTAGCAAAGGCTAATGGACAATACTGGTGTAGTTTGGAAGGTAAGAATCCTGAGAGAAACACCGGCCCTGGAAGATTGGCTCAAGAGGTTTCAGATGGAAGGAAAACTCAAGAACTGAGCCAACGGGAATCCTAATGCAGGACATAACAAGAGGGAAACTTATGGGGCCATAAGAAGGAAAAGGAGCTGTAGTCAGCTTGAAACCTCTCACCATCTGAGCATCCAGAGTTCTGGCACAGGCAGGAGTGGTAGCATGCACCTTAAGGTGCCAGCCCTGGGGAGGCAAATGCAAAGGCTGGTAAGTAGATCTTTGTGAGTCTGACCACTTTACAGGACAAGCCTGAAATCCAGAAGAAAGAGGCTAAGGTGGACAGGACCACACCTTGACCAGACTGCTTAGATGTGCATATCCCTGGCCCTCTATTTAAACTTGATCTCACCTCAGGAGCCAGAAGATGAAGACAGATTCAAGGAGTTTGCTGGACCTTTATCCCTCTTCCTGATATAGTCACATTGAATACATCCACTTTTCATTTGGCACTTTTATTTGGCTTCTTAAGTACAGGTACCCAGACCTGACTTGGGGAACAGGTTATGACCCTCAAGTTTAATAACAAGAGAAAGAGAGAAAGAGGATCCAAGCATA